TCATTTAGTTGCTTGGGAAACAATTTGTAAACCTAAATATGAAGGAGGGCTTGGATTGAAAGACTTACATCTTCTGAACAAGGCTTATCTAATGAAACTCTGGTGGAGGATTTTTACATCCCCTTCTGTCTTATGCGTCCAGGTCCTCTGTACCAAGTATAAATTTAAAATTGGTCAACATTAAATAATTATAAATGGTTCAAAAGACTCCCATTTATGGAATAGTTTAGTTTTTGTTTGGCAGGCCTTTTCTCTAGGGCTTGGTTGGCATATTGGGGATGTGATGACTGCTAAATTTTGTTCTGATAATTGGTGTAATAAGATTGGTGTTTTGTCTAATTATAGCCTGGTCCCTATATCTGATATGGATCAAGGAGCTCCTATTACTTTATTTTCTAAGAATAGAAATTGGGACTCGGTGAGCCTTTCTAAAATTCTTCCTAGTCAGGTTTGTGAAGCAGTGGCAAACATTAAGCCTCCTTTGATCTCTAATAGGCCTGATTCGATATTTTGGAATTTAACAAACAATGGTAAATTTTCTTTAAAATCTACTTATGCTTTATTATCTGTTTCTGGTACTGTTTCTGCTAATTACCAAAACTTGTTTAATATTGTTTGGAAATGGGAAGGTATGCCCAAAACTAGACTTTTTCTGTGGAAACTTGCTCACCATAAACTTCTTATCAATCTGGAAAGATATCACCGAGGTATGTCTTCTTCTGTCTATGCTAGATGTAATGAGGATGAGGAATCTGTCATGCATGTGGTTAGAGACTGCTTTTATGCAAAAGATGTTTGAGAATTTTTTTATCTTTTCTGATCAATTGGTTGATTTCTTTAGTAGAGGAATTTATGACTGGCTAGTGCTCAATCTGTCTAATAAAAAGTTTAGTCCGTTCTCTAAGTAGGAAAGTTTGTTTGGAATAATTGTTTGACACTTGTGGAAAGAGAGGAATAACTTTATTTTTAACAATTATTCTGCCCAGCCACAAGTTCTTATTCAAAATATTTTTGCTGATTTTCAGGCTTTTGTTGGCAGCCAAGGTAACTTGATTGGTACCTTTTTCAAGCAGGTAACTGATAAACCTAGAGTGAAATGAACTCCTTCCCTGCTCAGCTTAATGTTGATGGTGCTGTTTCTAAGATTAATGGAGCTGCTTGTGGGGGCCTAATAAGATATGATAAAGGACAATTCATTTCAGGTTTCTGTAGGAAATTAGACCCTTGCTCCCCAATAAAAGCTAAGTTGTGGAGTATCCTGATGGGGTTAGAACTTGTTGTCCATGAAAAAATTCAAATTATTTGGATAGAAAGTGATTCTAAAGAGGCTCTATCTCTCATTCTCAACATTCAAGCTTACACTCACCCTTTATATCACTTGATTTCTAGTATTAGAAATGCTGTAAAACCTATTCAATTTGTTAGGTTTATTCATGCTTATAGAGAAGCTAATCAGTGTGCTGACCATTTAGTCAAATTAGGCCTTGAAGACTTAATTTTTTCTTGTATTGATTATGCTCCCCTTTCTCTTTGTCATTTTCTTTGCCTTGATTCATTAATCACTTGGACCCTTAGGTTGGGTCTCTAATTTTTTTCTGTTGTTTCCTGGGCTGTTAGCGTCTTTTTTTAGAAAAAATAAAAATAAAAAATATAAACTAATTTAATATTAGTAAAATTTTATTAGAAAAAATGAAATAAAAAACTAATTTAATTAAGATTAAATTGACTTGATGTAAAAATGAAATATAATATGTACTAATTTGTTTAAAAAATTAAATATATATTACAAGATAGATATTTTTTAGGACTTTTACCAGATAGATGTTAAACATATTTGATACGGTATATTTTCACAAAAATATATACAGACTAAAAGCACGATTAAAATTAATTTAAAAGTAAAAAAAATGAATGTGAATAATTTAAATTAAAATATTTTAAACTGCATGTATAAATTAAATAATGAGAACTAAAAAATAAAATAATATTTTTGCCAAGTCAAACTAAGAAATGTTATGTTTAGGTCTCCATCAAACTTACATTAATAACTGGACAAAATATAAAGTCATAGACTTAATTTCATCCATTAAAAATTTAAAAATTGAATTTATACAATTAAAATTACAAAAAACTAAAATCGTGAATAAGACAAATTGAAAAGACTAAAAATACAATTTTTTGGTCCTTCTTTTGGGTATGTCAGGACTTTTGCTTCTTAGACGGGCAATGCTTGCGATGATGAACGTCCCATTGCCCCGAAGGTGCCACGAAACAAACCCTAGTTCATCTATGACAAGTCAGGGAGGATAGCACCATTTGGGTTACAAACAAACACATAAGATGGTTCAAAGGTTTGGTTGACCTTTAAACCAGTATAAATTTGAACGTCAAACAAAAATGCATAAGGAAACAATTAACTCTGCACTTTCAGCAAAGCAACAAAAAGGAGGAGATCGAAGGAAAATAAGGAACAAAAATGTCAGTTGCCACCATTTAGGCTTTGACAAAGGGAGAGAAGAAAATGGTTTGAAAGGGAAGGAGGAGAAAACAAGGAAAGAGGAAAGAAGTAATAAAATACTGTTTCGCTTTGAAAACATTAAAATAAACAGAGTATTTACATAAGCGACTTGTTTAAATACTAACTAAATGAATTTTTATTATATAAAATTTATGACATTATTTTAACTATAGAAGTTAATAAAAACAAATTAAAAAATTATTTTAATAAATTATAAAATTATAAGTCATTTTTATAAGCTCTTTCTAAAGTTTTGAGAGTTTAGAATCCAAAATATTATATATTATCTCAAAGTTAATTAAATAACACATGGACATGAATTGATGCAAAATACTTTCTCCAAATCAAAGTTTGATTTCCAGGCACCAAACCAAACACAACTTTAAATTTCTCATCTTTATTCACCAGTCACATTCGTACTAGGTGTTAAATCAAAGATTGTTCATCTCGCACCCACCACATACCTTATAACAAAACTGTGAGATTAGATTTCATTTGCCTTTAAAAAAACAGAAAACAACATTAAGGGAAAAAAAATGAAAAGAGAGATAGAAAAGCTTCTCTTGCCATGCCCCATGGCTGGGTCATGTGTCCCTCCTTTTGGTGTTTACAAAAAAGCAACAATTAGTCTGTGAAAAAGAAAAAGCAATATCGCTATAATGCTATACATACTCGATTCAGTGAAATGAGAAAACGTAAACCCTTTGATCTTGGATAGAATAAAACCATTGAGTACTTTTTAAATCCCCCCTCTTCCCGTTTTGTATTCCTTTTATGGATATCGAACTAACTTTTGCTTTTTCTTTTCTGGTTTAACGATGAAATTACGTATTTTTAATCATGACAAGAAGCAATCAAAAACAAAAAACTTGATTAGGATTATTATGTTTTAATAATTCTCTTTGCACTCACTATTAGAATATCAATATTGCCCATACCATGATTAAGATAGCAATCCCTGCTCTTATAATTGGAAGTTCACTTTTTTAGTACAATCATTTTAATGGAATTTAATTTTTATGAGATAATAGAAACTATTTATATATCTTAAATTAATTTTAAAATATTTAAATAATAATCCCTTCCAAGAAATCAAAAACCTTTTACATATATACAATGTCTGGCCATCACATTCTTTCATATTTGCGAGGAATGCGCGCATGATATAACGATTAAAAAGTTCTTAGCATACGATTTGGCCATATCTTGCCCAAAATAACTGGGGATCCTTGTCATTTGCTTTCCACAATAATAGGAAACTACAAAATAGCGTATGTTATTCCTTGAATGTCAGGTTCTTCTTCAAGAATAACAATGTCTCCAACCTTTTGAGCCTTCTCCTTAACACGCCCTATCATAGTAAACAATTATTTTGGTACAAGTTTAAACATGCATCGATTAACGGTTTACGGTTTTAGAATTGGAAAAGGCTATATATTTGCATCAAATCAAAGCCAATATACTTTTTTTAGGACGATGCCTTGCAATAAAAAATTGAAGTTAAGACACCTGTATAAATTAAGCACAGGTTCTACATCTAGTTTATATGAAATTCTTCATATCTTCTAGGGGAGTGAATTGTTCCTTTTTCCTGTATATTATAATATTAAAATTTTATTCATAGCATTATTAAATTGATAAGTAATAAATTAAACGATGTTTTAATTAAATATTAATCCTACATTAAATAAGCAAAAGAAAAAAATAAAGTTTATTAGTCATTACTACTAATAACTGTCAAATCATTATTGCAATAGTTTTTTAATTATTTATCCGGACAAGTTACCAAGAGTGGTGTTGAGTTATTATAGTTATAAACTGAGAGGTGAACAATTAACTTTAATAACGATGTTTTTCAAATAAAAAAATATAAGTTTAACCACGTAAATCGTGATGACTTAACACAATTTAATATAATTATTTAAGTGAATTTAGTTAATTTAATTTTGAAAAAAAGAAAATAATTTAAAAATAAGTCGGTCGATCTAAAAAGAAATGGAAATTTGGATAATTATTATAAAGTTATAGAGAGTGGAGTAAAAATGAAAAAAAGACATAAGGAAGTGTAGGGGGAGAAAATAATGAGAAATAGGAAATGAAGTTGACAGATGTGCGTAGAGGCGTAGATATGGAGTTGTTGCGTGTTATGAATGGGGAAAAATAAAAAAAGGGAAGGTACACCTCTTTTTATATATATAATCTTTGGAGTGTGTACGATACATGTGTGGTGTGATCCAACCATGTAGATGTAGGGTACACCCCAGTCTACGCAAATCAGAAGGGCGCTGCAACGTAATTGGTCCACGTTCCCCACGGGCCCTGGAGGCGCGTGGACCCCATGCCTTTTAAATCTGGATTCCCTCTTTTGATAGCTACCTCTCTCTCCCTCGCACCTCTCAACTCAATTTACTTTTATTTATTTTATTTAAAATTCCAAAATATAATTGTCAAATAAAACCTCCTCTTATTTTCTCTTCTATCTATCTATCTGAAGCAAACCTCTTTCAATTCTCAATTTTCAATTTTCCTTTCGCTTCTTACGCTTCCTCGAACCTTCTCTTCGCTGCTATGATCTGCGAAATGATTTCCGTTTTCGTGGATTCCATAGAGATATTATCATCGTAGACATGATGATGATGATGATCATGATGATGTGAGCTTTTCCCCTCTCTTTTTTGTTCTTATTAATATTTTAATTACACAATTTTTCGATACTCCAGAGAGAGATGAGATGATGAGGCCAAAGCAACTGACACCGCCCGCCGCCTCCTCCTCCTCCTCCTCCTCCTCCGCCTCCGCATCCAACCCCAAGGACCGTTCCCAGCGCCGCCGCAAAGACCTCACCCTGCCGCTGCCGCAGAGGGACACCAAATTGGCGGTGCCGCTTCCGCTGCCACCGTCCACGACGACGGCAACGTCGACGTCCGCGGCGAACCAGCTGTTGATTCCGTTCGCGGAGCTGGAGCGGCAGAACCGCATCGGGAGCGGGAGCGGGGGGACGGTGTACAAGGTGGTTCACCGGACAACCGGTCGCGTGTACGCTCTGAAGGTGATATACGGTCATCACGAGGAGTCGGTGCGGCGGCAGATCCACCGGGAAATCCAGATCCTGCGCGACGTGGACGATCCGAACGTGGTTAAGTGTCACGAGATGTACGATCAGAACAGCGAAATCCAGGTTCTGTTGGAGTTCATGGACGGTGGTTCTCTGGAGGGGAAACACATCCCTCAGGAGCAGCATCTGGCAGATCTGTCTCGGCAGATTCTGCGGGGGCTTGCGTACCTTCACCGTCGACACATCGTTCACAGAGACATAAAACCTTCGAATCTGCTGATAAACTCGCGGAAGCAGGTGAAGATCGCTGACTTCGGTGTTGGTCGGATTCTGAATCAGACGATGGATCCTTGCAATTCGTCGGTGGGGACGATCGCGTACATGAGTCCTGAGAGGATAAATACAGACATCAATGACGGTCAATACGACGCATACGCTGGAGACATATGGAGCTTTGGTGTTAGCATCTTGGAGTTCTACATGGGAAGATTCCCCTTTGCTGTTGGTAGGCAAGGTGATTGGGCGAGCTTGATGTGTGCTATTTGTATGTCTCAGCCTCCTGAGGCTCCTCCTTCTGCTTCTCCTCAGTTCAGGGATTTCATCTCTCGCTGTTTGCAGCGCGATCCCTCTCGCAGATGGTCTGCTTCTAAGTTGCTCGAACACCCCTTCATTGCTCTGCCCAGTCCTGGCCCCAATCACAACCACAACCTCCATCAACTCCTCCCTCCTCCTCCCATCAGGCCTCCTCTTTCGTCCTAGCTACTTCTACTTACCTCTCTTGCTTCTGTAATTTTTTATTTATTAAATTATATGCAAATTCCATGGATACCTTTATCCATTGAGCTGTTCGAGACTTGGAGGACGTACCTACGTTCCACAATGCAATCTACTTTCTTTAAATTTCATACACATTCATTCTTTACTTCTTACCGTTGCCATTTACATAACATGCCATGTTTGCCTTTGCTTCTCTTTTCTGCTTTACTCGCTGTGTTTTTTTTATTTCTGATTGTGTTGGCTGCCCCCACTCAGCGGATTGAATGCTGTCTCTTCAATCCTCATTGTAGCTAGCGCACCGGAAGGAACAATTTGCATTTTGGTTTGAGATGGTTGCTAATAGATAGATACTAGTCGTCTATGACTACGGACCTAAGTTTTAAAAAATAGGTAATCTAATATCATGTTTGGTTTCATGCTAGGATACGGGTACACGGTTATTTCCAAGTTATTAGTAATAACTTTTGCTTTGGATCTAAGTTTATAGGCTTTTTAACGTGTATTTCAACGTTATTAGTTATAACTTTTGCATTAGATTCACGTTTATAGGCTTTTAAACGGTTTTCAAACTCATACATTACTTGCCATGTGTGTGATTGAAAACGCGTTAAAAAGTCTCCAGGTGGGGATTCAATAAAGATGTTACAACTAGTAGCATTGAAGTAAATTTGAATTCAGTTGCATTTAACGTTAAGTTAAACATGCCTGCAGACATGGATCCAACCAAGACGTTATAACTAGTAACATTGAAGTAAATGTAGATTCAGTTGCATTTAACTGAAATCAAACATGCCTGTAAAAGTGGATCCAACTAAGATGTTACGACTAGTAGCATCAAAGTAAATGTGAATTCATTTGCATTTAATTGAAATCAAACATTCTATACCTTTTTGTGTTGAAATTTATTCTAATTTCTAACATGCTGCCTTAGTTGGTTTGGTAGAATTAGAAAGGTGGAAGATGGAATTTATGCTGGTTTACTCCTCACTTTCATCTCGCTGTACGCTTTTGGTTTGGCTCCTTTTGTTTCTCTTTCAGTCTTCCCTAGTCTTCCCGTAGATGATATTGATTGGTGGGTAATTGAGACTTCTCAGTTCTCACTTTGAGTTTGAGATCGCTGTTATCAAGTTTGAACATCCATTGTTCCCTTTACGATTTGCCAATTTGGGCTAGGTAATATTCTCTTCTAAATACTTCGAACTAAGCCTTATTTGATTGCCTTATTGTGGCTATGCTTTATATTTCAAAAGAAGGAAAGCTCGCTAGTTGTAGTTGGAATCGTAATTTTTATCTGTGCTGCAACATTTTAAGTGTAAGGTATTTTACTTTAAATATGAAAACCCATATTTCTCCATTTTGGTTTTGTAAATTTCCTTATTCACGACTTGGCTGTGCACTTGTTTGTCTCCCTTTCCGTGTGGTTTTATCTCAGTCAGGGATGGCTATTCTAATTATACAGGAAAACAATACTGTATTTTCCAAATCCGGTACTTGCTTGAAATAGGTGGGTGGAGGGTGGGGGAAGAGGTTTGTGTTGCCATGCCATCATTGCTATAGATTAATGTTGAACTCTAAAGGGGAGAGACGTATGTATTCACTTTTAAGGTATACCAATCATCACGAGATCAACAGTGGGAAATTTTTATTGCACATGCGTTGGTTGCTATAGCAAGAATCTCGAATCACTTGAAGACGCTAGTGAGCTATTCTAAGTCAGGTGCGAGCTTCAGCTTCGTCCCTCTTATCCTAAAAGGTCAAACCTGTCTTAACATGTGGTAAAAATTTCCCCTACTAAGTGTTTGAGAATGTAGCTAAATTGAATGGCGAAGTTGGTTAACTGAAAAGTTAAAGTCAATTTCAAAAGTCATGACAAACCCCCACCCTAGAAAAAGGATTGCATTTAAAAATAGTTTGATTTGGAACTGGGATGTTTATTCAAATAATTACAGTAGGTCAGAGAGTTGAATATTGCAAAGGCATAAGGTTTGATATTTTCATTCTGAGAAATTAGCAGACCGATGTGCTGAGCTCAAAGTGGACAAAAGTGCGAGACAGTTGACTTTTAGAGAGCAGCAAGCAAGTGCGTTCACCGTTTGGCCAACCATATAAATGTCCAAAAGTGCATGTGAACACATGAAAAGGAAATAATATTAGGCCAGCCAGATTTTGCTGCTAATAGTGTGCCTTCACCGGATCATATGCAAATAATAACAAGGAGATAGTTATTGTAAACCTTAAATAAAATGTTTAGTTGTACTCCTAGGTTATGTATTATAATCCATCAATGATTTTGATTCTTCAATAATCTTCTGGTTCAAATTTAGTCTCTCAATTTCGTAGTTTCAATCAAGCTTTTCAACTCTTATAATTGCTACAATTAAGTCTTTTCATCAATATCTTTTGCCTAAAATTCTCAAAATTTTAAAAATCTCTATGAACCAAATTTATTAAACAGTTTTCCACTTAAAACTCCAATTAAAAATATTTCAATCAAAATTAAAAGATCTCAATTTTTTGTTTTTGAGATTTTAACATCGCATGTTGTGAAAAATCTTTTAAATTTTTGGTTCTGGACCTTTCAATTATTATTTTCTCTCAAATTCATCTTAAAGGGCTGATAATTTAAAGGTTTTATGTTGAGAAGTAGTGACGACAGAACTTGATTGTAATCAAATATTTGAGGATCTCCATTAAAAAAATATTAAGGGGGTACAAAATTACATATTTATTGCACTTGAAGAAATCAGTCAGGGAACGGAAGCAATTATTCGTGTCTATAGTCCTCCATGTTTTGTTTGGGTTAAAAGTTAGAAGTCTTTGGATTCGAGTCCAAAGTCACTGAGCATGTGTGAACACTGTTACCTTTATAAGAATTCTATTGCACTAACACACCTATTGTGCATGAATCTTTGCTGTTAGTAGCTAGCTGCTGTTGAGGATAATGCTTTGGAAAAAGAAGCATTAGATGCATATATTGTAACCCTTTTTCCGGATCTTACATTTTCCGTACAGAGAAGTTTTGGATTGGCTTGTTGGCCTGTTTCTGCATTGTGATTTACGATGCGTAGTTAACTATTCTTTTTGCCCGTTAGTGCTCTGTTTTCAAGTGCATAGCATTTAAGAAATTTCGAAATAGAAATACCAATTAGGATTCACACAACTACAAACAAGATCAAATTGAGTCCACAGAACTCCACTAAAGAATTGGATTCCTAATTCAGCAAGGCCGTAGATTACTACATTTAGAGCCTGTTTCGAAGGTGATAGAAACTGACTTCTCCGATCTAGCAAAATTATTATTTTCACTTAATTTCCGTCAGAAATGTAGAAATAAACAGTCTTAATTCAACAAAAATGTTGTAAAATATAACTTCAAATATTCTTACTAAAATATCTTCAGACAACCAATATAATTTGCTCATATGTACAAGATTGGGTTTTGATTTTAAAATTTCTATAATATTTTGAAGTGATTAATTAATTCGATATTTCATATAAATATAAGTTACATTAATGTAAAACATTGATCTAAGTAATTTTCTTTTACTTTATATCGTTTTTCCAGATCGAGTTGTCATGTTCTTTAAGAGGTCAAATTCATTGACATAAAAAAAAAACACACATTTTAATAAGATTACCACAACATCTTATAACAATATTTTATGGTTAGAAATATTTTTGTTGGGATGTAATGAATCAATCCATAAAGTAAAAGCAAACACAATCATCCAAGGAAACAGCTTGAGAAGAGTTAGGAGTATCGGAGGAGTGGGATATTGACATTTATGTGTTACATTGGCACAATAAGAATAAATAAATTTAGTGCCTTATGTTAATTTAGAAGTAATTAATTATACTAATTAATGTCTTCAGTTTTGTGTTTATGACTATATTTATAAAAAGTTTTGGTAAAACTTATATAAAAATTTACTGCACAACTATAAGACCTACAATGTTATATGAGATTGAATGTTGGGTATAAGATAGAATTAAGAATCAAATTATCAAATAAAAAGTTGGTGTAGTTGCATTAGAAAATTATTAGAGCTTTATCTTAAATATTTTTAAATGTGTAGAGAGAATCAGAAGAAGCACTAATAAGGAGGGTTCCAGATAAAAGATAGTCCAATAATTAAAGGTAGTGAGAAATCGAAAAAAATATATAAGTTAAACCAGGAAAAAGGATTCAGAGATAAATAGTTATATATATATATATAAGCTTAATATATGACAGGTATATATTTGTGGTGTTGTTTGATTTATCCAACTGACCCTACTTAATAAGAAAAATAAAGTTGTTTTATGTATAATATTTTAAATACAAAAATGAATAAAAAAACGAAAACCTTTAGAGAATTCCATGTAAATTACCTTTATTTTGAAACATGAATCATCTTAAAGAATTGGTCGTGAGTCGTGATTTGTTATGTAAGCCCAAAATCTTTGACTGAAAATGTAAGTGAAAAGTAGTAAGATGCTCGTAAAACTCGTTTCCTTTTGACTTTGTCATGCTCTGGTAGGCATAGCTTGTGTATGTATTTGCTATATTTTAAGGGTTCTAATAGATGTAGTCGCTTATTGGTTCCTATGGTTAGCCCAAAAAACAGAATTTTTTTTTATTAATAGATGAAAATTATCAATTATTAATATAATCTTTCTTGAACAAAAATTAAACTAAATTAATATCAGTTTTAAAAATTATTACTAATAGACAATATATTATCCTAATATTTTTCACTTCTAAATCGATGAATAAATAGAGGAAAATTTGCATCTATTGGGTAACGAGGAGTGTCATTGATGAAGATGTCAATATCTTTAATACTGAACTTGATATAAAGCAGCGTCTTGTGTTACAAAAAATGAAATTAATTTAAATTGTGTCTAAATTGGATGAAAGAATCGCACTTCAAAATGGAGTTGCGACAAAAAGGTGAAGAGAAGGGTGGATCGAATAAGCTACGAGACTACGACCACGTGCAAATATAGTATAGCGAGAAAAAGGGCCGCGTAAACATCATTTTTTTTAATAAGTAAGCAATTATTTTCTTAAAAAAATCATTTCTAAACGTACAGTAGAGAATTTTACTGTGAATAATGATTTTCTTGACTCAAACATGGTTGTTTCATGTGAAAAGGATTCTTGTGTTGCACAAAAAAATTAATTTATTCTTATTTTTAATAAATAAGCCATTCATTTTGCCAATAAAACAGCCAATGAACACAAGTTATGAAACTCACGTCAGCATGACTCTTCTGCTATGTGCATGTCTTCTGTGCGTGGAAGCAAGTCAAATTTATTATCCAAAAAAAAATAAGCAAGGACACGTCTTGTGTGTATGTAGTAGAAGAAATAAAGCCCATGATTGTACCAAATTGTTACACTACATATATTGTTCTAAAATAAAAGAGCATCACAATGATTTACTCATACATGGCTGACAACGTTTGCATATATATACCATATTGTGGTCAAGCCTTAAGCCTCGCTTGGCTTATAATTTTGAAGCTTAAGCGGGCTTTGTGTAATATGGTATACGTATATAATATCGTTCTATAGTGATAGATTATTCAATTTGGAATGCCTGCTGCAAGCTTTGCCCTTAGATCCTTCCGTAATATTTTGCCTGATGGTGACTTGGGAATGGCATCAATGAAGAATACTCGGTTTATTCTTTTATAAAACACTACCTGCTCGTGATCATCATCATGCACACAAAACAAAACACTAGATTAGATGGACATTTGTACGAAAATAGGTGGATTGCAGTATATATTAAAATCTTGTTAAGATTTTCAAAGGTGAGGAGTATGTTTTACAAGTAAAAAATGATGGAAACATCTTAAACCTGTTTAGAGACGAATTGCTTTATTTCATCTTCAGTTGTGTCGGTATTACCATTTGATCTCACCACAAATGCAACTGGGACCTCACCAGCTGCTTCATCTTTCATTCTGAAAATTTATAATATAATATATCTTTTAAGTAATTCAAAGAGTAAGGGATTTCGTTCAATACAATGAATGTAAAATATAACTTACGGGACCACAGCAACATCAGAGATCTTAGGGTGGGAGAGAAGAAGGGCTTCGAGTTCAGCCGGAGCCACTTGAAACCCTTTGTATTTAATCAATTCCTTTAGCCTATCAACGATGAACAATTCATCATCATCATCGATGTATCCAATGTCTCCTGTATGCAACCATCCTTCCTTGTCTATGGTTCTCTCAGTAGCTTCTGGATCCTTTAGATAACCTAAACATTTTACAATTTAGTACGTGTCAAATATTGGTTTAACATGTGTATAATTTTTTAAACATTTTACTATAATTGGTTGAACTAAAATTTGGGTGAAATAATTTTGCTCGAGGTTGGCTTGCGATGCTATGATTTATTTCATGATTTGTTGTTGGGTTGGAGAGGCCTTAACAAATTAAATGCGAAGATACTTCAACCTTAGTCAAAGGTTGAGATAGAATGCTTGTCCTTGGCTTATTGTATGAATAATTTTAAAATTTTATCAATTTTTCATAAAATGAGTTTAAAAAAGTAATATTTTTCTAAACCTTTTCTAAACGTGTTTAAAGGTCATTTCCTAATTGCACGATACTTCAACACTTAAATTAGTCACAAACAAATGAACCCGTACCCTTAAAACATGATTGCTTGCTAGTGCTACGGATGGTTGGCGTGAGGACATGTCAAATAAGTTGGCCAAAACTGAAATCCTACCAAGACCATTACTGGTGGGGCTTATCTTTGGATTGAAAGAAAGCTACGTACGCAACTACCAATATTTCAAAGGAACAAGACCCCAATTCCAAAAGAAAGGTGTTAATTTCTTACAATACTGTCTTTTACTTAATTCCATCCAATGCAATAAATGAAGTGCCAAATCCTTGTGTCAACCAACCCACATAAATCATGGGTTATATAAAGTTGGGAACTTATATTTCATCAAAACATGAAAAGGAATATAATATCCTTTTTGTTTTGAAAATATGGCATTTTTTTAAAGACTAAAAATGCATGATTTTTAAAACTTTTTTAAAAAAAATATTTTTTTAGGAGTTGAAACCATTAAAACCAGAAAGTGTAGTTAGATGGTGTGCTGAGTTAGATAGAATACCTTTCATGATTTGATCACCTCTAATACAGATTTCACCAGGTTGATTTGGAGGCAAAGAACGATCATTTTCAGGATCCACGATTTTCATCTCTGCATTTCTTACGACGGTTCCACATGCACCCGGTTTTACATCAATGGGTTCTTTAGCAAATGTTAAGCACATTGTTAATACTGGGCCCGCCTCGGTCATCCCATAACCCTGCGATGCTATTAACTTTTAATGAAATTAATTTTTTTACTATAAAATTTACGTGCAGTGACATGAAAATGCTTAACCTGTCCAAGTTTGGCTTTGGGGAATTTGGATCGGAGCGTGTCTTCAAGTTCTTTGCCAAGGGGAGCCCCTCCTGATTTGAAGATCCTTATAGACGACAAGTCGTATTTGTGAAGATCATGCGACTTTGAAATCGCCAAAACGATGGGTGGCACAACTGGTGCTATTGTCACTCTGTGTTTCTCAACCAAACCCAACAACGCATTGATTTCGAACTTTGGCATTAGCAGAATCGCAGCTTTGGCTCTCAATCCGCAGAGAAGAATAGAGAGGGAGTATATATGAAACAGAGGAAGCACACAGAGGATCACATCCTCTGTTTCGAAGTAAAGGTTGGGGTTGTCACCATCCACTTGCTGTGCAGTGCATGTCACCATTCCCTTGTGCGTCAGCATAACCCCTTTGGGCAAACCCGTTGTTCCTGAAGAGTAAGGCAATGCAACCACGTCATCGGGGTTGATATTCACCTCTGGAATTTCATTCTCGTCGGCGAGAGCTAGCTCGGAGAAATGAAGATGGCCCTCGGGGGGAGAGTCAACGAACACGAGCTTCACCTCCGATTCCAAATCCTTTACCTTATCATAGTAACAAGCTTGAGTTATAAGCAACTTGGCGTTTGAAGCTTTTGCTTGCTTTGCAATCTCTGCGGGAGTGAAGAAGGGATTGGCTGCAGTGGTTATGGCACCGCGGAAAGAAGCGCCGAGAAACGCAAACACGAATTCGGGGGAATTGGGGAGAAGGAGCATGATGACATGGCCTTGTTGGATGCCGAGTTTGTTGAGCCCTGAGGCTACTCTTCGTGAGGTTACTTCAACGTCGGTGTAGGTGTAGGTTTCACCCGTTGGAGCATTGATCAAACAGGGAAGCGATCCTAACTCGGAGAGGTTCTCAAAGCAATAGGAATGAAGAGGAAGGTGTTTGGGAATGTAGATATCGGGAAGCTTTGATCTGAAGATGGTGTCTTTTTGTTGTTGCTTTCTCTCAGTCTCGATAGCCATTGATTTGTTGAGAGGGAATTGCAGTTTGAAAGACAGAGAGAGTGAGTGTGTCTCGAACGTTGATCTCACAACAAGAGTTACTTTGTATTTGTAATATAGGATTCAGTGGGTAAAGGGTGGTTGGTGAGGGACAAAATGGGGAATAAATGAAATATTCGTAATATAAGGTTGGTGAGTTAATGTGTGAATATAAGTGAATGGAAGAAGGGGTTGGTGAGAGTTGCGAGTGGGTTATGCTTTTTTGGTTGTTAATATCATTTCTTCAATTATGGGGTCAAATCAATGAATCAAAGGCCTAGTATTTTAGGTTCCTGCATTTTTATTTTCTCTTGGCCGAAAAAATTTTAATGTTAGTTTTCAATTATTTACCTACCGCAAGACCATTTCGTATGGTCACAGTTCTCACTCAGCCTTATCTTCTTCACCTACCGCACCGTGACAGTTTTTTGTTAAATGGGCGTAAGCCCATGGGCCAATTTCCCAGCTTTCATCCCGCCAGGCCAATGCCCACTGGGCCTTCACTTCACCTTTCTATCAGCCTTTGCAAGAGATTGTTGTATGCAAAATACAAGGGAACTGTTTTCTTAATGTTTTTTCTTTGCATAAAACTCATACACGTAACTATTTTCATCCACTAATTTGCTCCATAAGAAATAAAAGCAGTGTACGAATATTATGAAAACCAAGTTGTGGGAATGTGCGACGAAGAGTAGCTGGGATCCATTTTATAGAATTGAATTGGGTCAAAGAATGAGATATGACTGCAGTGCGATCGAGCGATAATAGCTGTTAACGTCTTGAAAGGAGTTTATAGAAGATATTTACATGTTCCTAAATGTAACGTAAACGTTAATTGTTTGAGTTTTTTTTTATTGAATAAATATTAGTGGTATTAAATGAAAATAATCTTAGCTGTATTTCAATACATGATCAAGTAATGAAAAACATATACAAGTTAAATAAATCAAAGTTAAATTCATTGATGTTGATGAACTTAATCAAGATACGAGACTAGGTTAATATACCATTCAAAGAAAGTTTCAACCAGACAAAGACGAGTTACGTTCTTTTATTGTGTAATTTATTTTGTTATTATTTTTAAATTCTAAACTGTTGAGTTATATGTTGCAAATGACCCTAATGTAAGTTTTGAATTTGTAATTATTCACACAAGTCTTTTGTAGGCATAATAACAACGCTGGGTTTGGGAGAGACGATTGAAAATTTTACTTCCATATATTTATAAACAAAACATATATCGATACACCCTAACACATACAGTATAGAAAAATTAAAAGACAATAATAATCTTAAAAATAAATATTTTAAAACTAAATTATATCTTTATTAATGCACGTGATTTAGATATTAATATTAAATTTTAAATTATTCAAATATAATAATAACAATAAATTTTTATTTTCAATAATTATAAAAGAATGAGAGCGTGAGAATAACTTTATTCAGGTGAAGATTAAGTTAAACAATAAAAAAAGCTATAGAAGCAACGCCAGTGCTTTATCGATCACAAAATGGGATGATTTGGAAATGAAAAACAGATTACAGAAATTTTGACATAATCACCCACTACAATGTGAATATATTGCAAAGACTAAATTGAAATTATAAATACTAAACTGTAAAAATTAAAACAATATTATAACCTGTTACAACCAGTGATTAATTTGAAGGCTAGTTCATGTGAGAAAGTTTGTGATTGCAGCAGGTTAGAAGGCACCATAGCTAAATAGTACTTTCCGGGGGTCAAGTTGACCACTACAATAACTTGAAGGAACTGCAGATAGTTCTTGCCTTCCTTTCCACTCTTCACCAGGTTTAAGAGTAATTGCTTTCTCTACACAAGCAGCCTGAACACAAAGCATATGTTTGTACTCATTGTCTTCGAAATCAGATATGGTTTTTGCTTTCTTGTCCCACGGGTTCCATACCACTGCACACAAAATTCACATTACTATTAAACACAAAAACAAATTTGTTTCTAACACCAGACCACAAACACCGAACCGAACCAGTTTCCTTATCCTAAGTCTTCACAGCTGAAATTTTGGTAGATATATATTCACAATTTCAACACAAAATTATATGAACAAGTCAAGCAGTTAACTTTGTGAAAATGATTCTTAATATCATTCATTTTTTTCCTGACCTTCATCATCCCATATCACACTTTGTGTATATTAGGAAGAATATTGCAAAACTCACCGGCATCAGGAAGCCCATCTTTACGCAATACAAAAGTTCTCTTCCTTTCATGGTCTATTATAGCAATCTTTGTGGGTGTGCTTAAGTACACTTTGTCCACCTTTCAGCGTCAAAAAAGCCAAAATGCATTAGTCACATAGTTGAACCAATAAAATATAAACAACAAAAGAAACTATTTCAGTGATAATAGATACTAACTTCAGACTCAAATGTTATAGCATCCCCTTGTTCAGTAAATCGTTCTCTATTCTTCAAGTTGTCCAGATAATCGAGTGTCTCTAGTCCTTCAATTCGCACTTCACTGAACATAAGCTAGGTGACAATTAGTTTGCAAACAACATAAGTCGCAAATCCTAAAGTAATGCAATTCTGACATGATGCAAGACAAGGCCAAAACCAAGCCGCGATATTTTAACATGTAAGTGTCTGAAAACAACTTATTAGAAGAACAATACGAAAAAAATGATAATAATTGTGCCTTCATATGTTGTTCAAGAATGTTTGAAAGTTAAGCATTACTTTTAAGTACCAGTGGCACTGGGCATTTGGATTCGATCATAAATAAAGATTTTAAGTTTCCAAAACTTCATAAATTGCTTTTATACATAATATCAAATTAAAATGAATCATCCAAGAGACATTTATTTCCTGTGCTGCAATAATACATGACAAAATATGCTTTAATTAAGTAATGAACAAACTTATTTAAAAGGAGGCAAACATATGCCACTTGACTTAAACTTGATTTAGAATATTCTCATCGCTTAGATTGCAAACATGTATTGAGAATGACTGCATGAAAAAGAAAAAGATAGTGATTATCACTTAGTATCGAAGGTCGCCATAAAACCTGATGTCAGTAACATATAAGTATGTATGATAGGCAAATGTGAAGGTAAATGATTTGCCATCTGTGTTTGTGTTTCGAATACGGGATGTCAACATCAGATCTCCCGCGGGTCCCAAAGCTATCCTCAGGCGAAACTCATATCTGTAAGCCATTATTATAAAATATTTTCCCTTAATCCAAGTTATTAAACCAAATGATAAAAAGTGAAACAGAAAGAAAAAGAAACTAAAAGGGTGAGATAAAATATTAAGCTCCCTTAGTAATATTATTTAATAAGCTAAGTCGTATACCTGTGAGGCCAATTCTTTGTACCATCTTCTGAGTGCTTAAGAATCAAATCAATGAAAGCTTTGTTGTTACTATTGGTTGGAAATGGCGGGGGATTAGGATCCAAAGTCCAAAACCTATTCCTTGCAAATCCATGTTGCTCAAGAGAGCCATGATTTGAAAACTGCATATGGATAAGTAGTACTTCAAGAAAGACACTAAATGGAATAAAAATAAAGAAGCCCAAAAAGACACACATACTTGAGGAAAGCATATTGGAATCCCTCCACGTATGGATTTTGGAGGCATAAAATTAGCCTGCAGTGATTCATGTGAAAAAGAGATGAATCTCCAAGACTCAAGCAAAAGAAAAGAGCTATGCGAGGTTTAGAGACAAATCGAACTCATTAACATAGCAAACAGTAATAGAAAAATGTTAACGCATTCTTTAATGTAATATTTTAAACATATTAACTAAAATTTATTAGAAATTACAAAAAAAAATATATAAATCTCATTTTTAATTAACAATTTTACATATGTTTATAATTTTAATAAATTACAACACAACTAAATACATACCAGAATGAGCATATTAGAAAAATGTTTTTAAGCTCGCAATTTTAAAGCCATACGCAGTTAGGGGCCCCAGAGCATTTTACGTAGGCTTTTCTATGTCTCATGTCACAAACTTGACGAAAGACAACAACGTTGCTCCAGCCCTTTTTTCTTTCTCAATATCTTTTTTTTTCATACACTTTTCTGTCAGCCTATGTTTAAAAAACACAAACACTTCTAATTTATAATTCTGTAGTGTTGTAACCATGTGAGATTCGTATTTATGTCAAACATGAAATAGACATGTCAAATGTTTTTCAAATAATATTTTTTACATATAAATGTTTTGGTTTTACTTTTTAAACTTTTATACTAATAAAAATTAAAATATCATAATAATTAGAAAAAAAATAGATTATATATTATATCTCTAACGACTCATGCCAACTTTTAAATCATGAATTAACTTTTATGAATTGAATTGTTTATTTCTGTAAAATTTTAGTTGAATTCTGAAGTATTTGTACGTTGTATTATAATTACGTTGTCCTGTATTTTTTTTAAACTATTATATATATATATGTCTTTACATTGTATCTTATACGTATCTCACATTCTGCATGTAATTTCTAACTCTTCTTACATCTACAATAATGAGTATTTTCACAATTAAAAGAAAATTTAAAATATAAAAGTCACACCGTTCAAATGTTGGCGCCCATGCATTGCTGTGTACACGTGCGCACACGTATGGACGCACGCATGCACATATAGATATATAAATAAATAAATAAATAAATACTGAATCATTTTATACTTTAACCCATAATCGGGTCTGAGTTTCTTTTGTATGTAGCTGAAAGTAATTAAAATGTTATGACACAATTAATTGGCATATCTATGTGTTAGAATATAAAGATATAGATTTGACTATCTTTTTTATCCTGAAAATTAAGAATCTATTTCGACGCACACTCTAATAGAACAGTATTGATGGAAAGAAACTTGGACCTTTCTGCTGACAAAGAGCAATTCTTCCCCAAGTTCGTTCTTCCAGGAGGTAACCTGACCACCGTATAGATATACCTGCACGAAACAAATACAATGTAATGCAATTAATTGTTATAATTTCAAGAAATAAATGAGACGATGATGGATCTAAAGTGAAAATGGAATGGAATTGTGAAATGTGGGAATGGGATCAGAAATGGAAATCAGAATAATCAAACCTCAGCGGAGAAGCCACGGACTTCTCGAAGAATGACCTTCTCGAGGCCATTAACGCCCATACACTGTTGCACGTAAACCATTTCTCGTGACATTTTTGGCTTTCTTCAGATTCACAAATCACAAATCACAAATCACAAGCAACGCCCTCTTTCCCAATCCTATAAATACCTAACGTCATCAACACAAGACACGAGAGAGAGTTAAGGGGTGGATGTGATGTGGGACTCTTTATTCCTTATTTATTTACGCATTCGCACATATACATTAATATAATGTAATCAACGCGTTACATTCATTATGGATAACTCCCTCCTTTCCAAAAATGCTTAAGATTCACTCATCCCCTCACAAAATTTTAACATTTTTAAAATTAGTCAAATTTATACGAGTTCTTCATGTAAATATAATAATATTTTTTATTCAATATAGTTCAAAATGCATATTACAAAATATTTAATTTTAATATATCCATATTTTGTATGTAAGAAGTTCATATATGCATGAAGCTGATGAACTATTGTTACTAATATAATATAATACGTAAAAGGTATTGTTTGGTTAAATTTTACTATCTAGATTTTGAGTTTGTCATTTAAAAAGAAAATATTATATTTGGCATTAAATAACTTCTTTCTTAATTGCAGATGTTCTAATTAAATATTTTTAAAGTAAAAATATTTAAAACTGTAGTATTACTTTGCATATGCATAATTTTCCAGATACCCATGGTGTTTAATTGAAATCTATAATCAGTAAAATCTTCTTCACCAAGTTATTCTTTTTTTTTTCTTTCTATTTATACTATTTTCATTTAATATTCAGTATTTTTTTAACAATTATAAAAGTATTTTTTTCCTTACATATATTCTACTTCACCTTTTTTAACATAACGGAAGTTTATTTTTGTTTCTTTATCATATATCATACAGTTAAAAAAAAACTATATTCATCATCGATAAAATAAAAATAACAAGAAAGTCTGGTGGATTCCATGGTAACCAGTTACGTACGAGTCATGATAATGGTCCGAGAGTCATGAACAGGTTTTTTTTTTATTCACACTGTTTTAGTGACAAGATGAGTAATATTTTTCCAGAAGATACACTTCTCGTTTCTCTATTTTGACTCCGAAACAGGGACAGAGATATTTTATTTAATTGATCCCATAATAGTCTAAATAAGAGCAAATACTACTTTTAAACGTAATTGTCTTACCTCATCAGCCATTTGCAATTTTGTTTTTACGTATGGATTGTATTTTAAACTCTTGTAACTTTTATGGTGCTTAAATATACTTCTCCATTCACCAAAAAGAAACTCATTTAGGAGCTTATTTGTTAAAAACTTAAAAAATAAATTATCACATTTTTTAATGAATATATATTTTAAGAAAAATTATGATTTAAATTAATTTATATACATGTTTTAAAATTATTCAATGACTTAAAATACATTTTATTAAAATTGAATCTACTCTATTTTAAACTAAATGAAAAATATACTTAAATTATATACTAACAAACCAAGCACAAACGATACAAACTTTTTCATCCTCATTCTTATGAATTAAAAATAGAAAAGCAAACTAAATAGTTGTGATCACCAATTACAATTTGAAAAAATTAAATAATTTCTATATGTAATTTGTTTGAAAATTATATTAGAAACTTTAATTTTCTTTAATTTAAATAATTTTCTCATTGAAATTACATTTATATTTTATTTCTTCATTTAGCTGCATTTTATAGTAAGTTTTTTGTTACTTTTAATAAAATGTAATAACTTACATTTCTTTTTATTTTAATTTTGCCAAGAGAGGAAGATATTAAAGTTAGTGATTCGAAGGAGAAATGTTCATGAAAGCAACTAACTAGGGAAAGAAATAAGAAACCAGAGTCATTTTTATTTAAAAAGTTTGACCAGAAAAAAATATCTTAAGGACATTGATTATGGTAATATTAATAATAAATTTTTATTAAAAATAAAATTAAGATATATTGAAAATTGAGGTGGGTACATTATTATGTTTTTAAGTAAAATTTTTCACTTCTAATTTCTTCACCAATATCTTAAAACTACTAGTTAACATTATTCTTAATAAAATAACTAGGTAATAAATTTTCCACATTCATAGGTCATTATTGGAGTGCTTAATAATTTAAAAATCGATGATATATGAACTTCATATTTTACTCACAGAAAGCCGAGTATCGAAAGCTCAGCATTTTAATCTCGAATATAGTATCCGAATGGCATTGAAATTATTTAATGAATTCTAAACACCGGGGAAGTATGGGATCCGAAAGCACCATGCGCATTATAATTTACAAGCAGGAAATATTGCCAAAATAATTTACAAAAACAATTATCATCAATGCATCTGCACTAAAAAGAAAACTATGATAAAGTTTTTTATATCACCTACATGATTAAAAGAACCTAAAAGTGTCCATAGCTAGGTCAACGGATTTAGTATTGGTCACTATTCTCCTTTCTTCTTGCACTTAATTTTTTCAGGTGTCCACGAAGAACTTAAAATTGAGGAATCCTAGAATCCACTTGAACAACGGAATCACCTCAGAAATTGTCAAGGCAATCACACCTAAGATTTACAAGTCAGAATGTCAAATCCATTATCCGAAAAAAGATCTTAGAATATTGGGAGCAATATATCTTGATACTAACCTGGGCGTTATCTGTTTTCAATTTTTGAAGCTCCTCCTGGGTACATATAAGCCTACATGTAACAATGCAAGGTTTAAAATACACCCAATATTTCATCATACAATCTAACTATATTTTATAATACAATACCTCCATTGCAACTCAGTTATCTCATGAAGTAACTCCTTCTCCCTTTCGTGAGCTGCTTCAAGCTACAATATAACCAGTATTTTCTTTAAATTAATACAAGGATGAGCAGATACAAAGTAATGAGTAACTGTAAATTTTATAAAAATGCAAGGAAACTTGTTGCATTTGCAATTCAATTTATTTCCTTGCTAACTTCAAACATATTTGTGATCACGGAAAAAAGTTCCACAATCCATAATTACTCTACCAACATATCGCAATTACTAATCACCAACAATGTTCAGAGAGAGGAGGTTGGAAATACGCACAACTTCTTTCATGTATCTTGCAGATAATCAACTCCTAGCATACCCAAAAGCACGATAAAGTAACTGGCTATAATAATGGCCTACCCTAGGTTTTCATTGAAAAATTATCCAGCATACAGGACTAGACAAAGTTCGCCCAAAAAACTTTTTCAAACAACTAAACGGGACATTTGTTAGAATTTTCATTACACAAATGGAGCAGATTCACTTTTGAGAAGTCCTTCATATTAATTATTAATTTTAAATTTCACAACCTCCAAACACAGTTGGCGTTATTATTATTCAATATTCTTATACTGCAGCCTTATGTACATGGTTCTCAGATGGAACATTCTCAGATAACTTCAAACAAGTTACAATGATAAAAATTAAGCCTATAAATACATACCAAAGATTTCTCAGTTGCTGCTATCTGTGCTGCTGAGGTACACGAGCCATCAGCTGCACGGTTGACAAAAAAGAATTTAAAAGTATGCATTATAACAAAAAATAGTGAAAAAAAAATCAGGAACAAAATATTCAGTGTGTTTTTAGTAGAACCTGCAGAGTCACTGGGAGTAATTTGCTTCATTAAACTTAAAATGCTCTCCTGCAAAATGTTAGAAAAAAAAAAAAACACAGTTACTCTGGGTATTAGCTGAAGGAGACCTAACCATAAGGCTGAACATACCCTTTGAAGAATATTTGTCTGCAGCACAGAGTGCAACACAGGAAACAGAGAACAGCCAGAAAGATTTGATGACGAGGCATCAGTAGATGCTGGTAATAATGGTAAAGGTGAATGCAGAGGAGTAGCATTGTGCTGGCTAAAAACCTACATCACCCGTGTCATTACAATGAGATACGTATGATTTAAAACAACTGTCAAATTAGTTTATAGACCCATTCGTCAAACTAAATAAACTCAATACTACAACACAATGCAACATTTTCATTTCTATTAAAGAAAATGGCAGTAGCCCTTTCGGACAAGGTTATTTGCAAATCAAACTCCATTATTGCCCAAGTAATAGCAGTGATAATAATAATAATAATAATAATAATAATAATAATAATAATAATAAACACAATAACAACAACAGCAATAATAATATGATCACAGTAAAACACTTTGCCGTAACCTCCATAAAGTGAAAGGGAATTCAGAAATGTCATTTTGGATGTAGGTCTAGTTATTTTATAATAAACATTTAACACATCTTTTGTATCTATGTACAATAGAAATTACAACTGAGCTATTGAAAGGCTGGTTTAGACCAGAACTTATATTTCCACCACCTAAGGTAAGAAAAGCGACGGTTAATGTAAACTTCAAAACCACCAACCTGCATGCTATGACTCTTTTGCAGTACAGGAGAAGGGCCCACCTGAAAGAAAACTTCCCTTGGTATTCAGTCTTCAAGAAAGGAGAATGATCGGTAACAGAGTTATTACTTACCTTATCTGGGTCAACATTCTCAGATGTAACCTTAAAACGTCCTCTCTGCTGTACAACTGGTACCTTTGATTTCTCATCAGTGTCATCAGAATTAACTGCCACAAGAATGGTCAATTAGACAGAAATGTAAGAGTAATCCTTGTGGCCTTCAAGAACTCAGCAGCTATAGGTCAATATATATATATATATATATATATATATATATATTAAGACAAACTAATATGAGCAGTTACCTGATGATTTTGAGACTCTAGAAGGAAGTTCAGTAAGCACATCCTCTCCTGTCTGTGAAGCTGAAGTTGCATGGCAACTGCTGTATAACAATTGTGTAAATTATATGTTATCAAAATGCTATGACTTAACTTGTGTAAATCATTCTCTCCTACACTTAAAACTCCCCATAATCATAATAGGAGGGATTAGTGATATCCATGAATGTTAAAATTACATAGCAAATTTTTACTACATATATTAAAATTTGCTATTAGATCAGAAGTTTTTATGATATAAACCATACATATAAAATCTTACATCATCCAAAAAATTTTAGTACTTCATTAATATACATCAAGACAAATTGAAATATAAAAATAAAAATCATTTGATTACATTTTTATTGTTATTCAATGTTTTCATGGTTTTACACAAACAATCAAGGTAAATGACAATCATAAATTAACAGCTAGATTGATTAAAATCATATTTCATATAAAATTATTAAATGGTGTAAGAATATTTGATATATACCAGCACATACCACTGATTAATCTCATTAATTTAGCAAATTAATTTGCAAAATGAATAGCCTAAAAGAATATCGCCTTATAACATTTTGACATGTTAATCTGGTTTTTCAACATTTATTCACATGCATTCCTTTGACCATATAAATTATATAATCCAAGAGAGGGGGGGGGGGGTGTTGTCTATGAAATAGGCCTTTTCCAAATGAGAAAGCAAATTTCAACCAGAGAGTGGGAACAGCTAGCAAAACTCAGTACTGTTAAATCAGCCATTGAATAAACATGGAATGTGATGACAGACACCAGATTAACCATCAAATGATATATCATTGTTTGAAATACTGCATTAAGCATAGCCTGGCACAACTATTCAATACAAATGAATAAAGGATATGGTTCCAAACTTTGTTATTCATGACATGTAACAAAATGAACTTTGTTAATGTAGGGAAGAAAGATAAAGTAGGCCATCCTCTTGAATTAAGCCTGTGTAATGAATGACTTGAGATCCAGGTTCAACGAATCCTAGAGGATGGACTAATGAAGCAACCTAAATTTATGATTGTGATGATCAAGCCTATCAAGGCCCGGGTAGGGTTGGCAATCACAGCCCAAATGATCATCTCTGCCATGATGAAAATAACTAATACAACAAGCAAAGCAAATGCAAAGGAAGTTTTTGGAAATAAAGTCAATGCAATTTACCAGAAAAAATAAAATTTAATAAACTTAATTCACGATTTTAGTATTCACCTTTCTGGTCGAATAGGTGGAAGAGTAACTTCAGGTAAGATGCTTGATGAACACCCTCTTCTATGAAAAGAATGAGTAGCCATGCCCTCCACAAATCTTCCACCATTTTCCATATCAGATTTTTCACCAACATTGTGGTCCGCATGATCATCGAGACAGGACGAAGAAGTTTGCGGTTCATGGCTTGAACTGGTGATGCTGGAATCATCATCAGATTTTTCAAACCTAGTCCTGGAAATGGGAACACATGATAACAAGTGGATTATCTCACAAGTTTTAACAGTTTGACCAAAAAAAGTATAATTTAGTGATATGACATCAGATGCATGTTAGAAACATACTTTGCATCATTTACTGCAGAATCAACTACCGGAACAGAAGCTGATTGATTTCGCACCTCATCATTTTCTTCCTGTAAAGGATTAGCCGTTAGAACAAGCCCAATTAAAATATTATTTTGTTAACAAGAAACAGAAGAAAAATGAAACAAAGAACAATCCAGATATTTATATATACAGCAGATATAATCCTAATATATAGTATAGAAAACAAAGTTATAAATACCGTATCAGCAGTTTGAGAAGGGTTGTGAACTGCACTTGGCAATTGCTTATCTTGTGCATCGAGCGTAGATAAAGAAGATGAACTTGCTGCATTACAGATATCTGATATAGCATCGTCGAAATCATGGATCTAGCAGAAATAAAAACTCTAATTAGAAAGTCTATAACTTCAGTAGTCACACATTGATTGTGAGGGAAAAAAGATTGGACACGGTTTGTACCAAAGAAGCCTGAGCCCTCATATCTTCAAGATTGAAGTTCCAGCCACTAATTCCACGTTTGTATTCATTCTATAGAGGATTAACACAAGGACGTTAAGAGCTTGCTATCGAAAAATATATAGAGAGAAAACAATGATATTTTAAAAGCAAGTGGCATAACTTCGTGGTCCTCACATCTGAAAGCAGTTACTCTAATCAATTACACATAGTAGTTCTTACCTGTGACAATTCCTCCATCTTCCCATCAGGCATTTTCTTCTGTGCAAGCATATCTTCTTCTTTTCTCTATGATAGAAAAATCACCGTATAAATAATATAATATATCATTACAGGGGCAGGGAGGAAATATATGGTAATAATACGGAACCTTTAGGGCCTCCATGCGATCACCTAAAGCAGGAAGCCCCTCCAAAAGTGTCCGTGCAATATAATCATTGGAGCGAGCCTGCTTAAAGAATGAATGCTTTAACAACTTGCCAGCAGAGGGTCGTTTTGAAGGATCCTTTACTAAGCAACTGGCAATCATCTGCTTAAACGACTGGAAAGAAAGAAGAAAGATATACAACAGGAAAAAAGGAGCAATCAGTGAATGTTGAAATTAGGTGTAATACATTCATCGAGAGCAGAGTTGAGGTAAGATGAGGTGACCTTAGAGAACTTCTTATCCCTTTCATAGTCAAGGCCAGGAGGTGCATTTTGCAAAGTCATAAGCAGTACCTATGCAGATTTTCACAATGAAATCAGAGTCATTGTAACTAACAAGGATGATGAGTTGGTCGTCCTTAATAAATTAGTTAATAATAACATGCACACCTTCATGGGTGGAAATTTTGAGAAAGGAGCGTGACCATGGGCAAGCTCCAATGCAGTTATACCAAATGACCAGATGTCAGCTCTGAAAGAATTGTGAAGAGAAATCTATTAACTCGATAAAAGGATGAGCAAAGTGGAAAACACAGAGTGAGTGTTATATAATGATAAATCAATCAGAACAGAACAGACTTGAAGTTATAACCGTGCAGCTGCTCCATGACCTCGGGTGCCATCCTGTAACGAAGAAATGAGAGTTAGAGATGCAGACTGCAATGCATGCGGAGTAGTTGCAGCAATGAGTAAGGTTTTAAAGTGATGAAGATACCAGCAAGGCGTTCCGACGAAGGTATTCCTGGTTCGTTGACGATCACCTGAATCAAAAAGGCAAGCCGATACACCAAAATCGCCAAGCTTGATAGCGCCTCGTGAATCGATGAGAATGTTACCAGCCTTTACGTCTCGGTGGATGTGTCCGTGATGATGAAGGTACTCCAAACCTTTCAACACCTCCCTCAGAACGGTTGCGATGACTACCTCCTCGAAACCGTCGGGATGTGCGGCTTTGAGTATGTGAAGGCAGGAACCACCCGCCATGAACGGCATCACCACCCACAGATTGTGGTCGCTGACGAAGGAGCAGTGTGATTTGAGGACGTTAGGGTGGTCCACCAGGATCATTGTCTGGGCTTCGCGAGAAACGTTGTTCTGCGTGTTCGTATTGTTATATCATTATTAAAGAAATATACATAAAAAAAAAAAAAAGTGATGGAGATTTAAACAGATAACGAGATTACGAGATCGCAATTGTCACGTTCGAAGTCGAGAATTTTGATGGCGACGACCTCGTTGAGGGGGACGCAGAGAGCACGGTGGACGGAAGCACTAACACCTTGGCCAATCTCCTCGTACAGGACGTAATGGTCGGCACCGATGGGGAACTTTTTCTTTTCGGTATCCTTCAGCTTTTCCTTATCTTTGTCCTTCATGTTGATGGAATTGGGAGATGCAAAAAGTGAGTGAGGAGTGGTGGCGAGAAGAGGAATGTGAAATGAAAAGAGAGAAAAGGGTAATTGGGTCCGTTCCGCAGCTTTCTCGTGAAACCAATGGGCTTTTTCTTTTCCTTATCAGCTTCTCGCGGCCTTATCGGATGCCCAGTGTTTCCGCTAAGTCATCCCTCCCGCCACCTCTCTTCTGCAACTAACTCTCTCCCTCCCACTGCTAATTCTCATAATACTTTAAATATAGCATCACATTCCTTCATTGCTCTCAATCATTTCTTTAATTTATCAATTCTTATTTCACCTTCCCATTTTTTTTTTTTAATACAATCAATTAACAACCATCCCCTATGTTACTTCTAATTCTAACCACATGTTAAATTTAAAAAAATATAAATTTTTTAAAATATTTTTTTGATAATATCTGTATATATACACACACTTCAATTTTTTTATAAATTTTATTTTGATAATTTATAAATACCTAATTATATTTAATGTTGATTAAAATAGTTTATAAAATTAAAAATATTCTTTGATTTAATAATTAATTAAAATGAAATAAATCTTCCCTAGTTAAATATAAAATTCCATAAGATATGCTTGTAAAGTAAAAAGATACAAAAATGAAATGTATAATATATTATTTAATTCGAACAAAATTATATTTTTATTAAAATATCTGTGATTAAAAGAATGAGTTCGACGTACATATCGAACAGGATATAAATTTTATTGTTTTAAAATTATTACTCAAATGTAAAATAACGTATGGATCATCATGGATTATGTTAAATTCAATGAAATAATTCAATATTAATTTAAGAACAACGCTAAAGTAGTGACCGATATTCCTGTGATAGCTGATAAGTTAAAAATCTGACCTACTCGTACTTAATGTTGATTAAAATAAATAAGGAAAATAAAAATAGCCTTTGATTTTATAAATAATTAAATGAATTAAATATTAACTTAGTTTTATATAAAATATAAATATTTTTTTATTAATAATAAACATTTTATATATTAAATAATAAATTCTGTAAAATATGTGATATATATTATTTTTTATCCCTATTATTTATACATAAATATTATTTATTTATTTTCTTAAACTTTACTTTACTCACCTTTGTTATATTAAAATAGAAATAAATGTTATAAATAATAAGAATAAACAAATATCACAATTTTCTTTTAAAAAATAATGACATTAATGTCTTGGCAAAGATTTAACGAAGTTGTGAATTTTATTTTTATAACAAAATATTTATATTATAATAAAATTAATAATTCATTATCTTAATTTTAAAATGATAAATAATATTAAATAAATTAAAATATAAAAAATATATTTTTTGGATTAAATATAATTATTTAATTCAATGCAGTATTTGTATTGATTAATCTGTAATTATGTTTCTTGATAGAAGAATTAATATTTGTTTTGGCACGTGAAAGGAAATTATTGCGGTATTAGCATATAGTATCACATAATATAATTTACGTTGACATAAAATCTTTTAATATAATAAAATAAATAGTTTAAAAAGTTTATTATTAACTATATAGATAAATTACTTTAATGTGAAAATTTATTTAAAAGTTAAATAAATATTAATTTATGAATAACATTATTGTAGTTACAAATATTTTCATAAGAGCTAATAAATTAAAAAAATGTGACCCTATTCTACTCGTACTTAATGTTTATTGAAATAATTAAGGAAATTAAAAGATATTTTGATGTAATAAATTATTAAAGGAAAAAATATTGATTTAATTGTATATAAAATATAAATAAAAATATTAATGATAATGAAATTTTTATTTATTAAATTAAATAAATTAAAGACAAAATCTAGTACCAATCACATAAATTAATTGACAAAAGTTGTTGAATTTAATATGTGATTTTAAATTCAAATTTCAATAAACCAACTCTGTTTATTTTTTTAAAAAAAAAAAGGTATCGGTAGCGGTCTAAGATTTTCTCCAATATATAATACTTGTTATATAAATAAAAAAAATTAAAAATGGTTTTTAAAATATAAATAAATATATAAAATTAAATTATTTAAGTTAAGATATTTTGTTTATTGTTACACTATTTTTAATGTAAAATAAATTTGGTAGTTATTAGTTATAACAAATTTTAAAGCATAGATAATTTATACATCAAAATTTTAAAAATGTTAAAATTACCCTTTAAAATTTGCTTTTAAGCAACTAAAACAGAAGTAACTGCTGTGTTTTCAATAAAATTTGACATGCTTAAAATAAGTTTCAAAAGTTTAAATTAACACAGTTATTTTTTATTTTATTGTTGATATCTGTTTTTGAGGAAAAATATTCTTACCAAAAAAAAAATAAAAATGCACTCCATAGTTCCATGTGATTGCACTATCTTCCAAAACTACATTAGGTAATATATAATTATATTAGTATATATTATTTTCCATGGTTTAATCTTCACTTTTACATGAATAATAGTTGTTTTTTAGAATATGATATGATTGTTTTTGTTATATTATAATATCTGCGTGTTTCGAACTTTATTCATATTAGTAATTAATTTGACGAGTTGTTTTTAATTTTTATAATTATTTTTAAAAAAGGTTTTATAATTTGTTTCGGATCGAATAATGAAAAAGTTAGCTCATAAATAAAAAAATGAATAATGTGAGTATACAAATCAAGTAAATATATAATAATTTATTATTAATCAAGGTCAATGTCTACAAAAACAAAAATAGACATAAGAAATTAATTATAACCAGAAGAAATTAAAAAAAAAAGAGTATATTAACAATATTTAGTCAGAGTTAATTTAGGGGAAAAAGGAAAATTAAAGAAAATGGAAAAAAGAGCATTATACATGTGTCGTTGACGTGTTCATCCTCTGCCACTGCAACAGAAGTTGTTTCTCTCTCTAGGGTTTCCCTCTCCCCCACCGTACTTTAATCGGATCGCTGCCGTTCCCGGCGTCACTCCGATAACTCGCCGACATGAAACTCACAGTGAAGACTTTGAAAGGGAGCCATTTCGAAATCAGGGTTCAGCCCTCCGACACTGTTAGTATTCTCATTGCTAATTCAGCTCGCTCTGTCTATCTTTTCTTTTCTGGTTGCAGTCTTCGGTATCAAGTTGCTTTCTCACAGTTATTTCTGGACCTGTCATTTTCAGTGTGGGAAAATCTGTATGTTATGTTGATTGATTTGGTTTGTTTTCAAATTCTGGAAGCCAATTTTTTCTCCGTTATTTTTCAAATCATTGTCGTAATTGTTTGTTTGTTTTTGTGTTGCATACGTTCATGTGTTTCCTACCAACATTGTCTAAAATTAATTTATTATTTTGTGGATGCTCTTGTCATCATCTATCGTTATCATTACTACTACACTGTTGCTATAAGGATTTTGTACGTCCCCGGCGTGATACTTATATGCTGATGTTGTTTTTGTTTCTATTTAAGGTTGGTGGCACTGTGTTGACGTGGTTTTAGGTTTTATGCTTCCATGTTCCCTATTTTGCTTTAATTTGAATTCATAGTTAGAACTTAGAATTTCAATTTGTCACCAGGCTCTGTGATATTTGGTAAACTTTAGAAGTACTAATTTCGAATTTTGTTGTTTATCAGCTGAAATTGTCTATTTGTTGTTTATTAGCTGAATTTGTTCTGCCATTTTCACCTCAGGTTATGGCTGTCAAGAAAAATATCGAAGATGTACAAGGCAAAGATAATTACCCATGTGGACAGCAATTGCTAATTCATAATGGCAAGGTTTTGAAGGATGAAACTACGTTAGTGGAGAACAAAGTCTCTGAAGATGGATTTCTCGTTGTCATGCTAAGTAAAGTATATTTCTCTCTTCAGAATACTTTTGACAAACAATTGTTAACCTTTTTTCTTGGCAAGTCACCTACCATACTGATTGTCTGTCAATTTCTCTCTCATATTTCCATTTCTTTCATGTTCAAAGACCTTGAATAGTTGAACCCTCAATTATGAACATCTCAGGGTTACTATTTCTTTATTTAAAATGGAAACCAAATGTAGTGGTTTTATTCATTGATAATGAAATTTTATTCTTTTAATCTTTAACTATAGAGATTTAGTGCGTTTCCCTATATCATATATGACATAAAAATTATAAGAACCTTTTGCTTGGATTCTCTCTCACCCATCTATTTCATCTGAACATTACGAAAAGTATTAGATCTTGTTCACATAATCTACTATGCTATTTCAATTAGATAAGCTCAATTATGGGCATTTTTCTTTCAATAGTTCCTTTTTCATTTTGCTCCTGCACAATTTGTTAGTAAGAGATGCCTTTTAACTTTTTAAACCATAATATGCAATTTTACTAATCTATTTACAGAGTAAAACATTGGGTTCTGCTGGGGCTTCATCTGTTCAGGTATATATTGCTCACTCATTTTATTGCCATTTTTGGCAGTTAAGTTTTCTTTTCTTTTCATTCTCTGTACTAGCTTGTGATTGTGCATGTGTGTGTCAGTCTGCTAGTAATCCTTCTACAACTATATCAACATCAAATTCCACACCTGCTCCTCCACCTCCAATACAAACTCAGTGAGTCCATCTTAAAAAAAAATTTCATTGATCAAGTTGATTTTTATATCAGCTAGTCTTTTTTTCCTAATTTCTTTTATCTGGTTTTGTAGGGCTGCTAACAACAGTACATCTGGCACTGATGCCACAACTACAAAGTATGGTTTTTGTCCTCACATTTCTCTTAAGACACTGTTAATGAATTCTTCTTAAGCTTTTATTCAGGATGCCACAATGCAGTCCCTTGACTGAGACAACATGTTATCCTTTTGATCTTAGTAATGCACTCAAGAGAAAAAAAATTATTTGTTGTACTTTGAATTTTAATCTTCACCACATCGTTTTGTTTACTCCAAGAATTTTGTGATGGTCATAATTCTTTTAACCAAATCAATTATAATGGTGTTGACATTGTAATATTAGAAGCAGTATGGTTTTCAATTCAAATATTATTATTGAATGCGCTGAGGGATATATTTGGTTAATGTACAGGCCATTTAAAGAAAAATTGGTATTTGCTGATCCTAGTTATTATGTCAGGTTTTTTGTTCTGTGGCTGCTTATCATAACCATTGTGCCCTCATTCTTCTTCTTCTGGCCCAGAAATATTATTGCCACAAGATTTTTGTCACTTTATTGCCCCCTTTTCTATTGTCAGGCCTGCTGACAAATTCATCTGCATCATGTTTGCAGTGTGTCTGCAGATACTTATGGTCAGGCTGCTTCAAATTTAGTTGCTGGTAGTAATCTTGAACAGACTATTCAACAAATTATGGACATGGGTGGTGGTAACTGGGACAGAGATACAGTTAGTCGTGCTCTTAGGGCAGCTTATAACAATCCAGAGCGTGCTATCGATTACTTGTATTCTGTATGTCCTAATTGCTCATTTTTCTTGACTGCTTAATTTTTCTGTTGTATATTTATGGATTGCCAAATCTTTTTTCTTTTTATAAAAAAAAATTGTGTTTTTGTGTTTGGCAGGGAATCCCTGAAGCTGCAGAAGTTGCTGTGCCAGTTCCTCACTACCCAGGTAGTCAGACTACTGAAACAGCTGGGATTTCTGCTGGAGCAGTTCCTGGAGCACCTAACTCATCTCCATTAAATATGTTTCCACAGGTAAAACTTGTGATTCTGAATGAATCTTCAAAAGTAATCTACCTTGCTATTCGCATCCATTTTTGTTACTGTTTGTGCTGTATTTCAAGCTGAAGCTTTTTCAGGAGGCAATTTCTGGTACTGGTGCTGGACTTGGATCTCTAGATTTCCTTAGAAACAATCCCCAGGTGAGTTTGCTGCTTCATCAATTTCTGTGATTATTTGGAAATGCAGCGACTCCTTAAAAACTCGTAAACTCTGGGGACTTATTTGAAAATTCAGTAAAACTACCAATTATTCCAAACAAGGGACAGGCTGAACAATACGAAAACAAATATTCAGTACTAAGCATCACTATATTATTGTTTTTGTAGTAAAATTTCTCTTTCACTTAGGAGAAACCTTTCTTTCATAAATAACCCTTGAACCATTCATCCATTTCATTCACCTAGCTGGAATCCTTTGATTCACACCTATTTTTGTTTCACCATTTCTTTGCATTATAGATCCAAGATACATGAACTAATGTGACATACTATGTTATGATCTCTAATTTTCTCCTGCAAGCTTGTGCTAGCATGCGACTTGGTGAACTGACATTCTATGTACTATGTTTTACTATGCTTAAAAGGAAGAAGTGTGGTTCTAAATCTTCCCTCCAACCCTTTTATCTTATAAAAGTTCCACAAGTAAAAGGAGTAGTGGTGAAGCATTCCCTTATCAGTACAATTATTTTTTTATTTTTAATGCATTATGATTACAAATAATCCGTAATTGATAGCAGAGCCTAGGCAATAAACTGCTAATATATATATATATATATATATATATATATAGTTTTAAGCTTTTGCATGTAGTCAACCCCACCTAATGTGATAAGGCTTGTTATTGTTGTATCTAGCTTCAATCTTTGTTTTCGTAGTTTTTAAGTGACCATTGCTTTGTCTACCTTTTCAGTTTCAAGCATTGCGTTCAATGGTGCAATCCAATCCACAAATTCTACAGGTATTCATTTTCTCAATTACCTTCCTGACTTTTGGTCATTTGTTGATGTCTAATGATCCCCACTTTCTATTGCAGCCTGTTCTTCAGGAACTTGGTAAGCAGAATCCCGGTCTTCTAAGACTGATTCAGGAACATCATGCGGAGTTTCTCCAGTTGATAAATGAACCTGTTGACGGTTCTGAAGGGTAAGTTTATTATTTTTCATATATGTATTGTATTTTAACTGGCCGTTTTACATTTTATAACGATTACTTAGTGGCACCATTATCCTTCATATACTATTTCAATTGTTGTTTGTCAAAATTTTTCCTAAAATATTTGACATGAAAGGAACGTTTCTACTTGTTAGCTTGATATCCTATTATAAAATAAGAATTGGAAGTTTATTTGCTTCATTTGATTTTTTACATTCATGTAAATTTTGAACAAGAAGTGGAACCCTTTCTGTTTTTTGTCAGAGATATATTTGACCAGCCAGAGCAAGACATGCCTCATGCCATCAATGTTACTCCAGCTGAGCGAGAGGCAATCGGAAGGGTATGTCTCTCCTTTTTGTGGTCTGATACTTCCCAATTTCATTCCTGCCCTAACAAGTTGATTTATGATTTGTAGCTTGAGGCTATGGGATTTGATAGAGCCTCAGTCATAGAGGCATTTTTGGCATGTGACCGTGATGAGCAATTGGCAGCCAACTACTTATTGGAGAATGCTGGAGATTTTGAGGATTAAGTCACTAACCTACACTCTCGGGGAAGGAAATAACTGCTGATTTCCTGGCGAAGCTTGGAGTTAGAAGCTCAACCTCTCTAAAAATGTACAACTCCCCTCCCCCAGGCTTGGGTCCTTGTTTGCTTGCAAATGCCATGGTGGTGATTCTGCTGCGGCTTTAGTTGTTATTTCTCGTTTTCTTTTCCTTTCTGATGTAACCCCCCAAAAAAATCACTAACCTGCATACACTGTTTCATAGTTTTGCTCGACCTCCTTTATGTTTAATTTTGTTTAAATTAAATGTGTCTTTCTTGGAAATTTTATTGGTAGGGTTTGGATTCGGGTTTGATTGGCTTATGTCATCGAACAATAGACTATTACATTGATTTTAGAATCCGGTTTACGAGATCATTTGTAAGTTATTTACTGGTACCATTTTACGTGACACAAATATTAGATTTCTGCGTAGCAACTGCTGCTGCTACTGCAAATTCCGTGTTTTCCCCCTGTTCTAGTGATCTTTACCTTCTTTCTATTATTGGTTAATCCGGTGAGAGGATAGTCGCCATATTGCAATAAGCACAGAACATCCAAATGCTTTGGTATTTTACGAGTGCAGCATAAAATTTCCTTTGCATGTTTGGTTTTGACTAATATATTTTTCTGAACTTCTTAGCAAACTTTTGATCATAGCTTTTCTAAATAAAAAATAAATTAAGTTAAATATGCTTTAGAATGTATGATTTAAAATGCCAAATAAATATATTAACTTTAATTAAAAGCAATTATTTTCATTGGTTGAAAAAAAATTATAAAACTTGAAAATCAATTTCAATTCAATATCAATACATAAACTAAAACCGAAGAGGAGAATATTTCGAAGTGCTCTGAATAATAAATATAGGGTAAGTTTTGATTTGAATAATAATAATACTGGCAAAAATAATTATAGGTTTATGTATTTATTTTATATATAAAAAATTCGCATGCTGAGGAAGAACAAGATAATTAGATAAACATTTGTCTCTGTGGCCTTACCAAATCCCTAACTCTCCCCCTCTCTACTTCGGAGATGGCGATGGCGTCGTTAGCAGCGACAGTGGGTGTTGCTTCACAGACTTCCATTCCCACGCGTCATCTTGTTTTTCACCCATTCCAACACAGGCGAACTAGGTCTTCTTCCTGTTCTGTGTTGAGCCACAGATACAAATCTGAATCCCTTTGTGTGAGGGCGCACCAGTCGCACTGCAATGTTACCACCGTCATTAGGTCCAGACAAAGCGATAGCGATATTCTACGGGGGTGCACTCGTACAGTGACGACGTTGCTGGGAATGGCCGTGTTGTTGGTGAAAGCGATTCCAGTTGGAAGCTGGTTGAGCAAGATGAACAGCGTTAGCGTATCGACTGGCGCGTTGTTCTTCGCTTCTTTGCGGGACCAGCCGAGTGGAGGTCTGAACACGCCACTGACGGTGGTGGCGGCGGGACTGGGGAAGTGGCTGGACATATACAGTGGTGTTTTGATGGTTAGGGTTTTGCTGAGTTGGTTCCCAAACATCCCGTGGGAACGCCAACCTCTCTCTGCAATTCGAGACCTCTGTGATCCTTATCTCAACCTGTTCCGTAATATCATTCCCCCCGTTTTTGATACCCTTGACGTTAGTCCTCTCCTCGCTTTTGCTGTTTTGGGCACTCTCGGGGCTATTCTCAATTCTGCTGTGTGATATTTTCTACAGGTACTTTTCTTGCTCTTTTTTTTTTATCACTTTCTTTGCATTCTACGTTCAGTTTCATCACTCTCTCTTTCCTTGGGTAGCAGGATGAATTGATAGCTTTTGAGGCTTCTGATAAACGACTCTTTTGAAGCTTAGGTTATATACAATGTTTTTCTTTTGTTTCAGATTGGTACTTGTGTATGTGCTTATGGTCATGGCGTTTCATTTTCAAATGCAGTATTTTGGGTTAGCAAGTTAGTTGTATTTTCTTGATTGAAATGACTTCTTCAATACCAGCTCTGCATAAATTCCACTTCGATATTGTCTTGGTTATGTGGTGGGTGAAGCAGGACGGGTATGCTTTACCGTCTGCACCAATACCAATAGCGATCTTAGATAGTCTCATTCATTTTATACGTTCTGTTCAGAACAAGACTCCTGATACAATTCTCCTACTAGTTTACGTTCAACTAATCTGATAACACTTTCTAACTAACTAGATAACACCCTTCTCATATGCACCGACTAACCAGTTCATGAATCAAGGTTGTTTTTTTCTAAGTTGTGATTTAATCAATAACTTCATTTTTCAAGCTGTCAAAAACCAATTCTTTTTAGGGGCCATTTATACAAACTTCCATGACTTCGAAATTACATGTGACAGTCGACAAGCCAACAAGATTTCTTTTTAGATAAATTTTGTGAGTTTCTTTCTAAAATTAAGGCAACTTGAATACTGTTTCTTGTCACCAACATCATAATGTCCATCTATTTAATTTTTGTTTGACACTTCTTAGCAATCTCACTAGTGTATCATGTGATATTTGTTTTCACATGTTGGCATTTTCAACATATGTCAATTGATATATTTTTAACGCCAGCTAAAATATTTTTAATTTTTTTAATTGGAGTTGTTAATGGTTTTCATCTATTTCTAGTCGTCGAGTTATCCTTTATTTAATTAACTCTCTTAACCACAGCTTTTATGATTTCCTCACATGTCAGGTACCTACCTTATTTTTAATGAAAAAAACATTATCCCCTCACTTTTGTATCTAATACTTTTTCTTTTTTTTTAATTTTGAGTTATTTCCACTTATCCAACACAACATTATAGTATCTGCAATATTCATCACTTGTTGGCATTTTGTAGCTAAGTATTTGTTCTTTTGCCAGTCGTTTTATAATGTGTTCTTTTGGGGCATTGAGTATTGCCTGGTTTAATGAAGGGGAAATAAAATTTTCCTTTTAATTTTAAAAATACCTTCCTACAACAAGTAATGCCTTAAATACTTGTCCATTTTTGCGTAACCAATTTAAACTTACAGTTGCATCTCCAATATGTAGCAATATATCAAGATGAAACTCAATCTCTTAATGGCAACTTTCGCAAATATTTAATTGAAGCATGTAAAACCATATGGTCCGACAGTCTAACAACAAAGTGAACGAACAGAAATTGTCTTTAGGATCAAAGAAATGATGTCTTTGGAAATACGCAAACTTGTAACCCTGCTCTTACATCTAATGCTGCACAATTTCAGCAACCACTAGCTTTTGTTTTTTTAAAGTTAGCAACCACTAACGTCCGTTCAATTGGATTTGAAAAATCTATCGAGTTCTAACTCGAGATTATTATTGTTGTTGTTCTTTGGATTATCTAAACAGCTATAATTAAGATCCGAAGTCACATCATATTAGAAGAAATATAAAGGGGGAAGGATTTAAAAAAGTTCCTTCCAAACTCGAGGTACAGTTGCCAAAATTTGAAGATGCTACTGATTATTTGGCCTGATCTTGTGTTAAGCCAGGTAGCTATCAATGTTGACCATTTCAGCGCATGTAATGGCATACAGATCACATATACTAGCATTACAGTTGGTATGTACTACGGAGAAGAGGAAATAATATTAAACTTGATATATTTAATATACCAGAACCGATTCACTTCTCACTATGTTCAAAGTACCGCAACTGTTTATAAATTGAAAATAGCTAATCTAGCACGCTAATGTAAGATCCTTAAGTAAGTAGTGTATGGATACAGATGAATAAAATATACGTCATGGATGGAAAATGTTTTTCGTATGCTTTAAGGGAAAATTACGTTCATATTTTAAAATATACAAATTCACTCTGATGTATCTAACCATATATTATTTGCATGTTGCATGATTAGAAAAGGGGAAAATTTTTACCATTAACCACAACCAGACAGCCTCTCAATCTCAAACATGCATCCTATGACTATCTTTGCTTCGACAGAAGGTTAACAATTTCTTATTAGGTTTCTGAATTTAGTTATTAACTTTATTCCTATATCAAAAGAACTAAGAAGAATTTTTGTAGTATAAAATTTTATTTATAAATATTTTTTCATTGATGGTATTGAAAATTGTTGTGCCAAAAGGTTACTTTATATATGCTTATATTTTTAATTTTAAAAAAATAACCATTTTGAAACATGCATTATAGCTTTGCCGATGAGTGTAAAATTTTTCAGTTTTTTTTCTTAATAGTCTCTAATTTGGTACAAACCCATTACAACATAGATAAGGAGAGAAAAAAGACTAATAAACGATTTCGAGGCGCCAAGAACGCATAATATCCTGGTAGACACGAAATAAAATATTTCAAGTAAATTAATGCACGAAGTATAATCTATACAGATTGCATAATCGAAATTCGAAAGTACTCTTAAAAAAATAAATAAATAAATAAATAACTGCTCAATTTGTTTGTGTGGTTAACCTCAACTCTTCATCTTCCCATATAAGGGTGCCGTCCCTTTTAGATGAGATGGAACAAAGTGGATTTATTTGTTTTCGTGGGATTTGAGAGTGCTCAAAATAGGTGGATCTTTTTTAAGTATGTGTGTTTGGTAAGTTATTTTAATTTGTTTATAATTTATTTGATTAGTTTAAAAATTTATTTGAATAAAATAAAAACATTTTAGAAAAAAAAAAGTTATTTTGAAAACTTATAACGTTTTATATATGTTATTTGAAATAGTATTTATACTTATAAATTGAAAAGTTTATTATTATTATTTTGACTATCAATGTTTTAACAAACCATCTTATTCATTACTTCGTTTACATTATAATATTCATTTTAATAAAAAATTTAAAATATCATATTATTTATTTTATTATTTGAATATATATTCTATCTATTTTAATAAAATATGTTGTCTTGAAATAATATTATAAGAATTTGGTAATAAAAAAGATAAAAATTCAAATTAATTACAAAATTTACAATTATAAATATTTTTATATAAAAAAAATAATTACATAATATAAAATATTTTTATTTATTTATTAATTTCACTAAACATGTAAACAATTATAACTAAACGTAATAAATTTTAGTTAAAAATTAAACTTTTAATTTTCAATTAGTGTATTTACTTATTTTGTCAATGAATCAATTACTATATTTTTACAGTAAAGGTGGTTAGGGGTTAGCTTATAAGTTAATAAAAACAAAATAGTAATACTTGAAAAGAAATAAAATTTGATAAGTGGCATAAAATTAATATACACGTTTTATGCTAAGAAGCGAATTGGTTGGGTTTGTTATTAAATGAATAAATGTGTGAAAAGATTTGAATAACAAAAAAAGGAAGGGAGAGAGTAGGTGTGTTTTGATGAGTTAATAATGATATTTGGGAAATAAATTATATGTTGCTTGGTTTGGTGGTTTTTGCTGGGACGAGACAACCTACCAGTGGTTGCAGCAGAGAGAGAGAGAGAGAGAGAGAGAGAGAGAGAGAGAGAGTTTTAACTTTTAATAATACTAATAGTGGGTTACTTACTTGCGTTTGCGTTGGTGAGAGAGAGAGAGAGAGAGAGAGAGAGAGAAGTTCATTGCTCATTGCTCATTGTTCTAAGTGTAAAGTGAGGGAGATGGATACTGTCATGAAGATGGGATCTCAGCCTCAGTCTCTGACTCGGCGTCATCCCCACTCTCTTTGATTCTCTTCTTCAATCTAATCTTCCTTCAGCTTTCAGGTATTTCATCTTCATTCACTTGTTTCCTCATTTTCTGCAGATCTTCTCTCCTTCCATTCACACTCTTCTATGCATTTTGTTCTTCATTCCTTCCTCATTCTTTTCATCGTTGCATTCAACTCTTTGCTTTTCTTTTCTATCATCAATTCTAATTTATGGATGGATCTCCCCACACGCTTGCATTTTGAGGGAGATCCGTCGCTCCGCATTTCCCTTTCCTCTAGATCCACTAACCCTATCTTCAATTTCCCCTAAGTATCTGTTCCTTTTCCTTTTTCTTCATCCACACTTCACCGTTGTTTTAACTGGTCCTTCAGACGCTCTTAATTCATACACTTGTATTCTTACTGGATTTGTTGGAACGTACATTGACAATGAACATAGGAACCAGATGCACACACTATTCACTAGTAAAGGTCAATGCTAGCTTTGCTTCTTAGTTCTTAATGTAAGCTTCCTTTCAGTGGATCAAGCAAACTCTTTAATCTTTACGTTTCTCAAATTTCCTTGACTTATTTGATCTCGTCCATGGCCTTCACAGTCATATCGTATCCTTTGTTGTCTTCTTCATTCACTCACGTTCCTTTATCCCCATGCTCAATTCAATCAGTCATGTCTTTATAAATTTTCCAATTTCAATAATACTCCTCTGTGGTTCTCTTGGCCTAATGAATCACAATTGAGTAACTCTTTTCTGTTGACATTGTCATTCTGTACCGGAAAACCCAGAATAGCAATTTTGTTACCTGTATTTGCAGTTTTAATCTGGTTTCTAGGAAAAAAATGAGTTAGTTCCGTAAGGTTTTCAACAAGAAAAAAAAATTGGATATTTTTTAATGCTTCCTCTCTAGATGAATATGGATATCTGCCCATTAGAGTCTTGAATTATGGCTAAAATTCTGTTTCAATTGCCTTTTCCATTCCGCTGTTTTGCAGTATTACTTTGATTGCAACTTGGACAAACTGGTACTGTTTTGTAATTACTTGCCTCTTTTGAGCTGCTTTGAGAAAGCCTGATGGGTTCAAGATTCCCATCTCATCAGCTCAGCAATGGCCTGTACGTATCAGGCCGGCCAGAACAGCCAAAAGAAAAGCCTCCGACAATGAGCTCAGTTGCCATGCCCTATACTGGTGGTGACATCAAGAAGTCGGGAGAATTAGGGAAAATGTTTGATATTCCCATGGATGGCTCGAAATCTAGAAAGTCTGGTCCATTGAATAGTGCTCCGTCAAGGACTGGATCATTTGCAGGTGCTGCTTCACACTCTGGACCTATTATGCAAAATGCTGCAGCTCGTTCTGTTTATATAACATCTGGTAATTTATCTGCTGGAGGCATGTCTGCTTCAGCCTCAATGAAAAAGACCAACTCTGGTCCATTGAATAAACATGGGGAGCCAGTCAAGAAGTCATCTGGCCCTCAATCTGGTGGAGTTACACGCCAAAACTCTGGTCCAATTCCCCCTGTTCTTCCTACGACTGGTCTTATCACATCTGGCCCATTAAATTCGTCTGGGGCTCCGAGGAAAGTGTCTGGTCCATTAGAGTCTACAGGATCAATGAAATCACATAGTTCCTCTGTAGCTCACAATCCTGCTGTGACTACTCTTAGCTTAGATGATGAATATTCCTTCAGGAGGAACTTCCCAAAGCCAATATTGTGGTCTGTGATTCTGATTTTTGTGATGGGATTCATTGCTGGTGGTTTTATTCTGGGAGCTGTTCGCAATGCCATTCTTCTTATTGTTGTAGTAGTTCTTTTTGGTGCGGTTGCTGCGTTATTCACTTGGAACAGTTGTTTTGGAAGGAAAGCCATTGTTGGTTTTATTTCACAATATCCAGATGCAGAGCTTAGAACTGCCAAGAATGGGCAGTTTGTGAAGGTTTCTGGGGTATGTAACTTAATATTGACAAATGCATGTATAATACAATTAATTAAGCTAATAACAATGGGAAAAAAGTCCTGCATACACATATATGCACACCTAACCACCCATGCTTTGATTATTCATTTCTTCATTCACCCATTGCTTGTTGGATAAGTGGTTTTTATGTAAAAGATGTCAGCGAATTGAATGGTTGGCTGGTGTCTGTTGTATCATCCTGCCTCTCATCTGTGTTGTTATATGCATAAATGAGAGAAACGGATCAATGATTTATTCTACCTTTTGAAGGTGGTTACCTGCGGTAATGTTCCACTGGAGTCCTCCTTTCAAAAAGTTCCTAGATGTGTGTATACATCGACAAGCTTGTACGAATATCGAGGATGGGATTCAAAAGCAGCCAACCCTAAACATCGCCGCTTTACGTGGGGACTTAGATCAGCTGAGGTATTTGCAATAATATGTTCAGTCTTTTCTTTACCCATTGCCAAATTTGGAATTCAGAACTTATATGCATTTGCCGTGGAGAGAATTAGATATTGTGCTTTCTAACAGAATCTACTTGCTAAAATGAACTGTGGATAGAATCACAACACGAACACTGGAATAATAATAATAAATACACGGATTTCAATTTCCCTAGTTACACTCTATGAATTGACTAACTTATATAGCATGAATTTGGACCTAACTAATTATATGTACAAAGACCAAAATTGCACATAATTTAAAACTAAAGGGACAGAAAATGCAAATTAAGCCAAACTAATTGGAGATGAAAAAACCTTGATGTTGTGGTATAGCTTGTGAGCTTCTTCGTGAAGCATTGAAGGTACAATGGACTGTTATGCTCTCAATAAAGAAAATGCAACTTCTTGTTTAGATTGAATATAAGCGTTGTTATGATTACTGTTTCTCTATAGTTCCTATCTAACCTTCTTTTGAAGCAGAAAAAATATAAACAGCAATCATAAGTGTTAAAAGAACTTGTTCTCATCAATTTTCTTCTAACACTGAATGTACTTCTTTCTTGCTTTTGATTGATAAATTTGGTGGGGGCTTTTAGGATGTATGTATTTGGGATTTTGCAGGATAAAATACAATACGAGTTTTTATATTCATTTACCTCACCCTTTATTCAATGCAGAGGCATGTGGTGGACTTTTACATCTCTGATTTCCAATCTGGATTGAGAGCATTGGTTAAAACAGGCTATGGTGCTAGGGTGACTCCTTATGTTGATGATTCCATTATTATTGATGTTAATCCGGCCAATAAAGACATGTCCCCCGAGTTTCTTCGATGGTTAGGAGAGAGAAAACTTTCTAGTGATGATCGTATAATGCAATTAAAAGAAGGGTAAAGTACTTTATCTTGTTGGCCGCAAAAATGCTTCTAGAGAATAAAGTTAGGATAACCTGGGATGGGGAGGACGTTCTTATGAAACTGCCTTTGATCTTTTTGTAGGTACATCAAAGAAGGTAGCACGGTCAGTGTAATGGGAGTTGTTCAAAGAAATGACAATGTGCTTATGATTGTACCTCCACCTGAGCCTTTGACTACCGGATGCCAATGGGCCAAATGTATATTTCCCGCTAGCCTTGAGGGTATTGTTTTGAGATGTGAAGACACGTCTAAGGTTGATGTCATTCCAGTGTAGTCATCCTCTCTGGTAACCTCTTAGGTATTCTTCTTTAAAGAAAAATGTCTTCCCATATCCAAAAAAATGGTGATGGTGGTGGTTGTTGTTTGTATTTTGTAAGCATATACGAGTTATTGGTAAGTGTGATGATTCTGCCATTGACGTCGGTGATTTCTTCTTTTTTTTCCCCACACTACTCCTAGTTTGTTGTATAGCTAATGGAAATTCTTATTCGTTTATTTTTCCTAAGGATTTTATACCTTTTTGATGGACGTATCATATAGTGAGAAGTTGTGTATTCAGAAGGACTTTTGCTGTTTGAAACTGTCAAGGGAATCTATCATACCCGATTTGTCAATTTGGTGGTGCTGAACTGCTGATAAAAGATTTGAATATAACCAATTACCAAACAGCTTTATCTGCTGGGATCATCTGAACTAGTCCTTTTTCTATCTTGTTACACATTTGTCTATTGGGGAAACTTGGCAGAGGAGTACCATTGAATATTGCATTTTTGTTTCGTTGCCCTCCATTAAGCGAATGTTAAAACTAAAGGAATTCTATTGTGCGCATGGCTTGCTATCTCTAAATTTAATTGTTTATTTCAAACGAGTTTATTAGGAAAAACATCGAAAAGTGTGCATTGTAATTTTGGGTTATATCTTTTTCTCAGTAAAGGTGAACTTTGATTCTGTAATAGGAAGTCTTATTTTTTTTAAAAAAAAAATCTTGCTAATCGATGCATTTAAGGCATTAGTTAAGGAATTAAACAAATTATTGAAAATTGTGTTAAATGCACTAGAAATAATGAAAAAGTAAATTTATTATATTTTTTTATCAAAATGTTTTTAATTTCTTATACAGTGTTTTAAGGGCACTAGTCAGTATTTACTTTTTAATATATATATATAATTTTCCTTTTGATTTTTAAATGAAATAGGCTATTTGTGTATTTAGTTTGAAGTGATAGAAATCAAAGTGAATTACAAAGTAATCATTTACCATAATAATTGAGGATGAAATGTGGAAGAGAAATGTTGAGGATAGAAAGTCTCCTTACAAAACATAATGATATTGTGTAAATATTAATCACTTGAAAATGAATAATATGACTGTAATTGTTTAAAAATATAGAAAAACTACTTATTCATTTGACCTGTTGCTTCCATAGTCCCTCTTGCACGATCCAAAGAAATCAGGTAGACGGCATTACGGTAGTAATGTACCAATCAAACTGATAAATCGGTGCCTATCTAAAAATGTAAACGGTGGACCTCGTCGTGCAATGTGTAAACTGAAATATGTTTTTCATATTTTTAAAATACAATAAATTAAATAAACAGTGCACAGTTGATGCAATTTTTTAAAAATAAGTTTATTCTTTTTAATTAGAATCGATTAAAAAGTGAATAAATATATTTAATGAACAGTGAGTAATGGGGGTAAATAAATAATTCTACAAATGTGACATTATAGATGGACAAGAATGTATATTTAGATAGATGCATGGCCATATGTAAACTTGTAAGTGAAACGTGTAAGCGTTAGAGGGCTCAGTAATGCAAAAAAGCCACGTCTTCAGCAGTGGAACCTGATCTAATCACGGACGTGGCCATAAGGCTTAAGGTACTTAGGTTTCATGGTTTGGGAATGGTATATGCTGATGCAGTGATAATATGGATAAGGTCCGAGGGTGGGCGTGGGCGTGGGCGTGGGCGTTGGCGTTGGCGTTGGCGTTGGTGTTGATGTTGATGTTGATTGGCAATGGCAAAGGCAATGGAGATGAATATGGTGAAGAGCAGAGGAAGAAAGCATCTTTGTGGGAGTGGCAGAGACTGAGAAGCGCCTATTCTATGTATTCCCAACTTTTTCATGCTCAGTATTGGAACATTCTCAATCACGCATATGCTCGTTTCTTTCCTCCGAATACAGAGTAAGCTACTTCTCTCCTCTCAATATAAATAGCCATCACACTCTTTTGTTTTCAATTGCACATCTATCATGATTCAGAAGAGGAGATAACGGAGCAGGGCAGATCCAGGATGCATCCAAATCAGCACCAAGTAAAGAGAAGCTCAAGAGGCAAACCAAACGTCAAATCGAGCTGTGATTTTCACTTTCTTCTCATCCTTAATGTTATGCTTCTGAAAAGGGTTCAAAAAGTAAATAACTGATCAATAAAGAACCACTCTTTGCATTGCAATTGGGAACCAACACCATAACCCATTCATTCTAATATTCATTGAAGTTAGAGATCTAACGGACATCTCCTAATATTAGGACTGATAATCACTGATTAAAACTTTCTTTGCTTTTTTAAAATGTTAGATACTAATATTTTTCGTGAGAAAAATTACCTAATTTGACTGGTATTCATAATTTTAAAAACTAACTTCATATATTACTTATAAATAAATTTACCGAACCTAATATAAATTATATTATGTTTTTTATGACTAATTCAAGTTATTTAACTTAATTGTTTTATCCTTACAAAGGAATATAATTTTAAGTTAATTCCTATAAAATATATTAATAATGTAATTTTTTTATATTACCATTGAAATGTAGATTCTTATATTAATAAAAATAATTTGTTTAATATTAATTATATTTTAACATATATAAATTTTATTTTATTTATTTTTTTGTTATTACAAAGGGGTAAACGCCAACAAAATAAAAAATCTAAAACCTAACACTTTCAGAGTTAGATGCATTTAGATAGAGAAAAAGAAAAAAAACAGAGAAGGTGAGTCATTAATACAAAAATAAAGAGCACAACTCTTAGCTTCATACTTAGCAAGTCACTTAGCACATTGACTAACTTTTTTACAAATTAAATTAAATTTAATAAATTGAATTTTCTCTAATAAAAATTTAATATAAAAAAAGAAAGGATAATAAGTAGATAGAACATTCAAAACAAGTTGAAGAACTGATTTAGAGTTCTTTTTAATCCAAATGCTTTTGTATAACTAGATGTAGACTCCAGTAAATGCTTCATTAAAATTGAACATGTATAAATTATAAAATTTTATATTAATAATCTATCAAAATTAAACGATAGAACTTCAACTTGATTTTATGGACATTTGATTGTACGTATCGAAGTGGCCTCAACAATAAAATTATAAAAACTTTATATATTGGAAGCGCACAAAATTTAACATGAACCTTTCATACTCGTAATTACATCACTAAGTAAAATAACTTTTATATAGATTTTGTTTAAAATAGTTAAACAAGTTAATTTGAAAAAAGTAAATACTAAAAAACAATTTAATGCATTTTAAAATAACAAATTAAAAAAAATACAATATTCTTAAAAATTTTCTGGAGAAAAACTTCTTTGTTTATAATTTAAGATATTATAGGTTACTGACAAAAGCTATTGGATAACTAATATTGTTAGATCTATATGTCTATGTCTGCATGATGACTTGGTAAAGCGAGCATAATAAAAATATAAATGAAATTTGATGTAGATTTTTATGGTTTGATGCATTCAAAATTATAATTAAAAAATGATTGGTATTATATTTTTTTGTCTTCATGATAAAAAAAAATTGTTTCTTTTGCAATTACAAATTTTAAATGTGAATCATGTTATAAGAATGTTGAGTACTCAATAATAAAGTAATTAAATTATAACGTTATGTATTTTAATTTTAAAATTTTAATATTAAAATAAATTAAATTATGTATTATTATCTTAATTTATATATATTATATGTTTCATATTGAGCGTGATATTAAAGATTTTAATGATTTAACTATATTTATCTTATTTAATGAAGTTGTTTAATAATTAGCATAAGTAAAATAAAATATCTCATTGAAATTATAAACAAATGTTTTAAGATCTAATATATTGAAAAATTTAATCAAATAATTGATTATATAAATAAAATATAACAAAATAAATAACTATTTTTATGTGAATTTTTTTAAGATAATGGTGAAGAGTTAAAGTTGATTTCACAACTTTTAAATAGTACTAATACTTCATATATTTTTAAAATAAAAATGGGTACTTGCTTTAAAAGTTGTAAAAGACAAAATTTCACAGCAAATAAAATTTTGAAGTCGAGTAAAGATAATATAGAAGATTAAATTAAAATTTTATTGTTTCCATTTATAATGTTTACAATATGATGATGAATAACTTCTTTTCATTATTTAATATTTATATATTGAGAAGACAAAAAATTTAGACAATATAAATATAAAAATAAAAGAAGATGAATTAGCAATAAGTTCTTCTATATTTTCAACTATAGGAACACCAAATTTATCAAAAAGAAAGAAAAAATTAATATATAATTTATAAATTTATAATGTATTATTAAAATTTTTTAATCATTAAATAACTTATATTTGATATTTTATTTTAGGTTGTAACTTGATAAAAATAAAGTAAACAATGCTGAACAAAAGACAAAAATAAAAGATTTAGAAGATTGAATAATTTTGTTGCATTATTATATAAATACTTTAAATTTTATAGAATTTAAAAAATAAAATGTCATCAAACAGTTTTATTTTTTATAAAATAATTTTGTTATTTTATTATATATATCTCTCTTATTTTATTATAAATATATATATATATATATATATATATTATGTATTGACTTTATTCGTATTATAACATTTGCCTATATTTTATGTGTCACTCATAATTTTTTATATAATATCAATATGTATAATTTTATTTTATTGTTATAAATGAGGGCTAAAAGCCCAAACAATAATACAAACTAAAGAACGAACCTAAGAGTTCAAGAGTTACAAATGTCTATAGGAAGCAAAAATTTAGGAACCTACTTAAAAGAGATTAAAAGGAATGAAACATTTTAATGTGTGTAATTTTAATTTATAGATTTTGTTAACTTTAGTCTTAAGAGTCGAAAATAAATAGCTAATAATAATAAAATTTTAGAAAAAAAATATTTATTGTATTTTTATAATTTTAATACAATAACTATGTATTTTTTTTATAATTTTTTTTATTTGTAGATGCTTAAGCATTAATTTTTATATTTAATCAAATTATTCTTCTCTTTTAATTTTTATTTAAATCTTGATTGAAATTTTTAAATATATAAAATTTATATATAAAAATGTATTTATCGTATTTTTCACTATAATTACATTTGATATTATTCAATATAATAAAATTTTATTATTATATATTTTTATATTTAAATTATAATTTTTTTAATTTTAAAATAAAATAATTTAATAAAAAATATAAGCAAATTTGTGTAACACACCAATATATTTATTAATTTATAACTAAATTATTATTATTAAACATTATAGTGTTTAAAGTCATATATAAATTAATTTTAACTGTTATATTTATTTTTTATATATAATTTATTTTAAAAAATACTCAAAATTTCTATTTAATATTTTTTTATCTTTATATTATGTTAAAAGAAATATTTTTATATTTAAATTATAATTATTTTAAAATTAAATTAAATAATAAAAAATATAAATATATTTTTTGCAAATCTGTACAATCGCAAAAGATTTATTTACTTGTTTTAACATAAACATTTCATGTTAGTAATTACATCACTAAGTAAAATAACTTTTATATAAATTTTGTTTAAAATAGCTAAATAAGTTAATTTAAAAAAAGTAAATACTAAAAAACAGTTTAATGCATTTTAAAAATAAAAAATTAAAAAAATACAATATTCTTAAAAAAATTATAGACAAACTTCCTTGTTTATAATTTGAGATATTATAGGTTACTGACAAGAAAAGAAGGAACTGAAAAAAAAGGATATTATTGGTTATATTTAAAAAAAAAAGGTTATTGGATAACTAATATTATTAGATCTATATGTCTATATGTCTGTATGATGACTTGGGAAAGCGAGCAGAATAAAAATATAAATGAAATTTGATGTAGATTTTTATGGTTTGATCTATTCAAAATTATAGATTAAATGGGTTGGATGAATAAACGGCGATGCGAATTAGACACAGGCCACAAACTTCATGGGTTCTGCAGGAGCCAACTTAATCCAGCATCCAGCCCATTTAATGATGGTTCAATGTTAGCTGAATCAATTAAAAAATGATTTTATTTTTAAAATTATTCCTTCAATTTAATTGAGTTTATTAGTGTAGAGGATTATAAAATTATTATTTTTTAGAAAATTAAAAATAAAATAAAATGAAGGGAGGGTGAGGGGGGGCACGGAGAGAGGGTGATATGAGCTAAGGTCGTCTCTGAGTCTGAGTCTGAGTCTGAATCTGAATCGAAGTAACAGTGAGAGAGAGAGAGAGAGAGAGAGAGAATTGAAGGCAGGGATGGGGCAGAGGAACAAGTCGAACAGCAACAGTGGGAGTGGGTCTGACACGGTACACTCACCGCTTGTTGCCTATGCTTCCATGATATCACTTCTCACACTCTGTCCTCCATTTGTTATTCTATTGTAAGTAACTGATCCTAAACCTAAACCTAAATCAATCATTTATCAACTCACTCCCTCCACGTAGGCACCTCACTCATAACCCCCATTCCAATGCAATGAATGCAGATGGTACACCATGACACTCGCCAACGGATCCGTTACGCAGACTTGGGATTACTTCAATCACAACGGACTGCAATCTTTCCTTCATATATGGCCCAAGCCCACACTCTTGGCCTACCAAATCATCGCCGTCTACGCCGCTTTTGAAGCCGCGCTTCAGCTTCTTTTGCCCGGTGAAACCGTCTACGGCCCAATTTCTCCAGCCGGTAACCGACCTGTCTACAAGGTCAACTTCGGATCCCCCTTTTACTTCGCTTGTCAAATCTATTACCCCAAATGTGTCTTTAGTTCTGCTTTAATTTCACTCAAATGTGTGTCCATTTTAAACGCCACAATTTATAGCTTTTAAGTTGAGATGTAATTTAACATGATTTTGTTAGTTTTCTAAACATGCACTAATCTCGTCAAATTCACTCAAATGTGTATCCATTTTAAACTTTGCAAATTATAGCTTTTACGTTGAAAGGTAGTTTTGATTTTATTAGATTTCCAAACATGCACTAACCTCTTTGGCGTTCTTCAGGCAAATGGCGTCGCAGCGTACTTAGTCACATTGATTACGTATCTTGCCCTTTGGTGGTGAGCTTTCTACAACCATCAGTATTTATTAATTGTTTACCCCTCAAACCAATCATTAAAGCAATTCTCGAGACACAGTACTGTGATCTGAGATTATTTACTGTATGTGTCTATTAATTGGATATATTGAGTGAAAGTACAAAAACAAATGCAAAAATATCATTCCTTGTCTCCCTAATTGATTAAGTTAGGTTTCTTTGCTGTTGTGGCTCATAAATACTATCAGAAGGTCAGTTGAATTTGCCATGTGTTCTTCTGTACGAATTTTGTCTATTAGTTTCTGGTTTTGCCTGCAAATCGAGGCGTTTTACCCTTTTCAGTGTCTGACATGTCGGTTTTTTAAATACGTTTTTCAGGTTTGGAATATTCAACCCTACAACTGTTTATGATCATTTGGGAGAGATATTCTCGGCACTTATCTTTGGCAGCTTTGTCTTTTGTATTTTCTTATACATAAAAGTGAGACATTGAAATACCAGGAACTACTTGTTTCCTATGCAATCAGCTATCAAATATCTGACTTGCGTTACATTTGCTAGGGTCATTTGGCACCATCTTCTACTGATTCTGGCTCTTCTGGGAACTTAATTATTGATTTTTACTGGGTAAAAATCTCTGCCTTTTACTTTGGCTAAACAGTTTTGCAAAAATTAACTTATTAGATGTCTGTTTATTTTGCGCTGAAAATCGACTTGGACTGCCAAAAGAAAAGGTCAACGAGGAAATAAATAAAAAATTGGAGTGGTACAGCATGATAAATCTTCCTGGTCCGATTACGTCACTTGTTGTTGTCATCATTCCTTTAGTAGACAGTTGATGCAATGAATTATTCTTTAAAATTACCTGGGCTCTTATTTTAGGCCAAGAATGCATGTCTAGTTCTTTCAGAAATTTCCAATCCTTTTTTCATATTGCCTCACTAAATTGCATTCATGATGCCACAATGTGAACTTTGAAATTCCTGTTCGAGAAATCAGAAATCTCCCCATGTTTTCTGACTGTAATTTCCACTTTCACTGCATATAAAGTCATTGCTTGAGAAATTAAACTCGTATATCTTGGGCCATGTTTTTATGTGAATGGCATTCAAAGACATTAGGAGTTTAATTTCACCTTTTTTCCGCAAATAATGGCATTCTAATTCTCATCATTCTTTGCAGGGAATGGAGCTCTATCCACGCATTGGAAAATATTTTGATATAAAAGTTTTCACAAACTGCAGATTTGGAATGATGTCATGGGCTGTTCTTGCACTGACCTACTGCATAAAGCAGGTTGAGTGTCAAAATTTTTTTTCTTTGTAATATATTCAAATGAATTAATACCAAATATTGCCTGCCTATATCAGCTGCGAGTTTGTTGGCTTACTCTGGAAGTTGGGGTTGTCGATGCTTTGAATTCCCTGTTTGTAGTCGCTGACACTTGTTGAAACAGCTTAGGCCTGAGGGTCTTGGTAGTTTGGTGACTAAGCAAGCTGAACAGAAGCTTAGGACCATCTACTTTTGGATTGTGTTGTCTTCTGATGTGATTTAGTTTACAATATTGATATGAATCGTATTTATCTTTATGTTGTTGGACTTCCTTAGTTGCCTTGGACATAATGGCCTGCTGGTACTGACTTATCACCACCATGCTTAGGATGTGTGATGGGTCCAGTACCGGATGAATCAGGAACATAATATTTTTTAGTAAATTTACCTTGTCAATTTTCCTCCCTCAGTTAATTCTCTAATGCTTGTATTCTTGTTTTAAACAGTATGAAGAAAATGGGAAAGTATCTGATTCAATGCTTGTAAATACTACATTAATGCTGGTGTATGTTACCAAGTTTTTCTGGTGGGAAGCTGGATATTGGAACACAATGGATATTGCACATGATCGAGGTTTACATATGCTCTATTCTTGTTTCTGTCAGACATACTTACACTTTCCCTCTGTCCTACTATTTTGTTCTTTTGAAGCACCGTTATAAGAATTAGAAAGAACATTATTTTGTTTGGTATTCTAACTGCTATCTTTTGGAAGGCTTTTTCTTATAAGAAAAGAATGACTAGTATGGTTTGCATAGGTTATTAATTCTATATATTCCATGACTTACATTCTTGCTAAATTCATGTTATACGTTGTTAGATTTCTTTATCATCTCACTGAATCATATAGCACTTAAATCTGGCAGCTGGATTTTATATTTGCTGGGGTTGCTTGGTGTGGGTTCCATCTGTGTATACATCTCCTGGAATGTACCTTGTCAACCATCCTGTAAATCTTGGCATACAGGTAACATTGCTATCCTAAAAAACTGCAAAAGTATAGATAGTGCTGAGTTATAGAGGTGGGATTGCCAGCAGAGTTTTTCTTCTTTTTTTTTTTTTTATATTGTACCATTTTTTCTGAAAATTTCCCTTTCTGTCTCCCAGCTAGCGCTCTTTATTTTAGTAGCTGGCATTCTCTGCATATACATCAACTATGATTGTGACAGGCAAAGGCAAGAATTTCGTAGGACAAATGGAAAATGCACAGTTTGGGGAAAAGCTCCTTCAAAGGTATAGACACCTAGCATATACGGTATAGATTTCATTTGGAGTTTATTTTTTATTGATCAGATTGGAATACTTGCATAATCAATTGACAGTAGACTTACATAAGCAAGTGATAATGAAAATACGTTTGCAGATCGAGGCCTCCTATACGACTACTTCTGGGGAAACAAAAAGAAGCCTTCTTTTAACCTCTGGATGGTATGTTTTCACTTAACATTCTGTAGACACAATTGTGGCAATTATTGCAGGAGTAATGATTACTGAAAAGTTGAGACCGTACCTGCCTCCCCTCCCTGATTGAGAAGTTTAACCTCAACACTTCTTGGAGTTGATTCCGAACATTTGACTTGAAATATATTGTAATTCCAGAAAAAAAAGTTGATATTGATAGTTTACATCCATAGGCAAATGTTACTGTTAAGTGTTAACGATAGGGGCTTCTAATCTCATTTAGAGGCCTTGGCTTTTGATATCTGATGTAATGTTATTTTCTTATAATACACTTCATCTGTCGTAGAAAAATAACCATTCACTTTCTATGGTACCTGCAGGTGGGGATTATCTCGTCATTTTCATTATGTCCCCGAAATACTAGCTGCTTTCTTCTGGACTGTTCCAGCTCTTTTCAACCATGTAACCACGACCATTTCTCTGTACAAGTTGAAAATTGTAGAGATTTTTTTTTTTTTTTAAGTTTGAGTGAATGCTAAGCTCGTCTTTTTTTTTTCTCATGCAGTTTTTGCCTTACTTCTACGTGATATTTCTTACCATCCTCCTCTTTGATAGAGCAAAAAGGGATGATGATCGATGCAGATCCAAGTAAGCCTTCAGTTCTTGGATTATATTCGCTAATGTTACCTCTTGTGCATTTTCTTTTATGCTAGTCTGCTTAATCCTCATCTATGTTTACCATTGATTTGTTATATGCCTTATACTCCTTTCAGTTCTTTCCATAAAAAACAAAAAATTAAATCACCAGAATTAAGAAAAGCAATTAAATATATTATATTTTTCATAAATATAAATTTTATTTCAAAAATACTCATGATATTAAATAATATAATTAGTAATTTATATATTTAATAATACTAATAAAAGAAAAATATAAAAAAATTTAGCAATTATACATCTTAAATTTATTATTATTTTCTTATAATAAAGACTAAAAAAATGATTCATTTTGTTTTTTTATAAAAAAAGACCGGTAATTTATTAGTCTGATACATGCGTCTCTTTTATTACCAATATGAAATCAACATAACGATAGCCGAGTAGAATTGGACTGCTCCTGAAGTGGACAAATCATTGTTGTAAAGCAATAGAATTTTATAAAGAATGGTTCTTCGAAACCAATAATTTATTTATCATGGAATCGAGTGAACTTATATTATCAAAGGTTTGGAATATTTTGCAGTTCTGGGTAAGCACCATTTCAACGAAGTTGAAAATTTTGGTTGTATGTAGGTATGGCAAGTTCTGGAAACTATATTGCGCCAAGGTGCCTTACAGAATCGTTCCAGGAATATACTGAAGAATGATTGTTGACAAACGGTGGTCTGGAACCTTCCACCCGGTTTGTATGCCATGTGGAAACTAAGGACGCCATCTGTACTTCTGTGTTGTTTTACCGCCTCTGCATGGTGCCTCCTTAAGATGCATTGTAGACTTTCGCATAGAACTAGTTCATTATTGAACCAATTTTTTTAGCTAATGTCGGGACTTGATTACAACTCTAACTGTGTTTATCTCTTTATCTCTATTTATGTTAAACGTCTCTTTCCTACTGCCAATGACTTCGAGAAAGGTGCTTGGCATCGGATTTTTAGTTTCTGATCTATTTTAAGGTGGTTGTCTTTGTTCTAGCTCTTTTTTACATTGTACAATTTCAACTTTTTATCTGTTCCTTTTCTATCCTGGGCTCTTGAACCTATTTTATAGTATATTTTTACACACAAAATATGTGTAAGGGATCAGTGCCATGGACTAAATTTACACGTTTATGTGGAGGATGCAACTTGAACCTTTCAATTGATGAATTTCTGATTTATCATCTATAATTCTATGCTAAATATTAAAGCTGGTTACTACAATAATGAGTACCTTTTTATTATGTATATTTTTTGGTCAAGTGTGATAAGATTAGAAAGCATGCCAAAAAGGCTGAAGCCCAAAGGCTACCGCTAGTCCAAAGTAAAGACAACAACCCAAGAATGAGGACCTTTTTTTATGTGAGGAGGGATCATTTCGATCAATTCTTGAGCTTCGGATTCATTAGATTTTAATAACGTTCTTAAATTTTCATGTCTGGTTATACATGCAAACCGTGGTTAATTTTCATAATTTTAATTCGCATGATTGTAATAAAATTAATATTAATATAAGATATAAAGTTGGATATTATACACATTTTCAATAACTTAAGGGATTATGTTTAATAGCTGAGATCAGTGTTTAGGTTTTTATTTTTCCATCAACTAAATATGTAAGATAATATGCGAAAATTATATAAAATATAAGTAACAACACTTACCATAAAATTATATATTTACAATCTTATAATATTTTTAAAACTTGGAATGTATAATTAATGATAATATTATATTATTTAATAGTTGAATTGATAAAAATTTAATATTTATAAATAATTATTAAACGAAATAATTTAATAAAAATTATATCTAAAATAGCTTAATTTCTTTTTTTCTTTTGACAATTTAATATCTATCCTTAAAATTATATATAAATTAAAAAATTGAAATTTTTAAACATAATAATAATAAAATTTAATTTTAATGTAATATATACATAAATTTATATACAATTAATCAATTAATATATACAATAAATATAATTTTTAATTTAATTATTTTTACTGAAATTTCCTAATAATATTGAATGAGAATCTAAAATCAAGGCATCATAATAATAATAATAATTAAAAAAAAACCTTAGGTGAAAATATTTTTAATAAAAGGACCAAGAAGGTTGGGATAGATTTGAGCCCCCTTTACGATCTGGTCGGGAGCAGAGAGTTCCCACTTTTCATTCAATTCAAGGTTTTGGTTCTCGCTGCGATTCTGACTTGTATCATTTTCTCATGCTTTTCCGATTTGGGAATTTGAATGCGATACAGTTTATCAGTTGACATTTTTTTTGTTGTTGCTTACATCACGTTTGCTAATTGTTATGTTTAATCATTTGCTAGAACAATCTTTTATGGGGTGGGTCTATTTGATGTTTGCTTTTCTAATACTTAATTCGGTTCGACGTTCTTAGACTGATTAGTTCTTCCGATGCATATTGACAATTAGGGTTTTTATTTGTAGCCCTAATAAAATTAATGTGCTGGAGAAAATTTTCATTTTTGTCGTCAATCATTATTATTATTTTGTTAAAATCACTTTTGATGACAGAGATGTCAGGCTATGACAATGTTGTTGGTGGGAAATTGAAGCTCAAGGGAAAAGCACTGGATGTGGCTGGTGGAGTGAAGAAGAAGAAAAAGAAGAACAAAAGAAATCAAGATCAATTTTTGCAAGTCGCTGAAGATGAAACTACAGCAGGTTGGTTGGTATCTTGTTTCAGGGCAATAAATTATCTAGTATTGTATGAATGTTCTTTCATCAAACTGAGGTGTGGTGATAAAATGTATGTGTGATCGGAAGTCGTAACTTAACCTTGCCTAGTAAAACTGCTCACAGTCCACGATCTTCAGCAATATTCAAACTTTTGCCATTCATCCTGTAAAATGGTAACTGGTTCTATTTTGTGCAACACATAGTTCTGCTGCGTATATAGTAGCCAATGATGTTTCATGGATTTGATGTGATGGCATGAACTTTAATGAATACGTTACTCTTGGATGGTTTGCCCATTGCCATGAAAAATCACAAGAGAATGTTTGATTTGGACAGAACACCACTGTGGTCAAGGTAAACAATAACAGTAATAATCTCTATCTGAGTAAACTTAATCATTTGCGTGAAATTTCTATCACAGAAGCTCTCGTTGGCCATTGCATACTTGGCCTCCATAGGCTTCATCTTTTTTGGTCCCCCTTGGAGTTAGTTTATTTTCTCCCTGACTCGAAGAGAGATGTTTTGGCAACATTGAGCAAGAAAGATGGCGCTCTTACCATTCAAGTCGTATATCTTAACTTCTTTGAGTTTCTCAGTAAAGCAGGGAAATGTTGTGGAAAAATGATGATGATTTCTGTTCAGAGTTAATTCTTTTCTGGTCGTTATCCTTAATCTTTTTATTTTTAGTTCACCATAAACTGTGTGATATATTGTTTGTTCTATTTGATGTAGGTGGAAATGAAGAACCAGCCAAAGATTCTAATGATCAAGTTATAAATGATGTGAGCAAATCGAGCAGTGAAGGAAAAACTGCTGCTCATTATGATGATCATCTTACACCAGCAGAGAGGCGATACATAGAACAGAGGGAACAACTTGATGTTCATCGATTGGCTAAGATTGCCAATAAGTCTCACCGTGATAGGATTCAGGATTTCAACCAATATCTCGCAAACATGAGCGAGCATTATGATATTCCTAAAGTTGGTCCTGGATGATTCGATGAGGCTTACAAGTATGAGGGTCAATCTCATCCTTTGTATTTGTTCTGTAATATTAAAACCATCCGCACAGATAGTTGTTGCACTGCGTATTGATGCTTTGTTTTGGACCAAGCTATATTTCAGATGATATATTTGGTTTCTTTCCTGCGGATGGGGAAGTGATGTTATTGCCTTAAAACGATAACTGCGTATTTTACTTGAACGTTATGGGGAGAGGAAGCTCGTTACGCTGCAAGGAATCTTAATTGAGAAAGCGATAACTTCGTGTTTAACACTTAAAATATGTGAATTGAAATGTATTGATATACGAAACTTTCCAAGTAGTTTGCATTTACAAAGATGAGTATAACATAGATTAATGCTTTTTAAAACTGTACTTGCAATCCAAATGAGTCTGTGAAGTTTAAGAGGAAGTTTCGCTGCACACTTTAGATCAATGATGTTTTATTGTGTTGAATATTTGGGGTTAAAAAGTACCAAAAAAGACAAAAACTGTGATAGTAAGAATGCCGCATTCGGTGTGTAATCGTACAAGAAATAGAGAAATGTATTTGAGAAAAAAGGAGCAAAAATTATTGAAATAAAGCATGGCGAAATAATGCCTACGATGGTAAACCATCATGCGAGGAGACCAAAGATAGCCCAAGAAAGAAAAGGCGAGAAAGCTCAATAAAATCATTAGAATGGCTTGGAGTTGGCATTTGATTATCATAAAACACTAGCAATACTCGGCTTCTGTAGCCGACCTGAACCACATTCGTTAAGCGTTTTAGAGAAAAATATTATTTCAAATTTAAAATGATTGAAATTTTATTTATTATATATGTTTTTTGAAAAGCAAATCTAAAAAATGTTTTTTGTTGCCATATCGTCTTGAGCTAATAATTCCCCAAATTTTTCATCAAATGCAGAACTACTGAATTTTCATCAAATTCTGCGAAATATGGTTAAATAGTAGTAAGTTGCCCAATGTGGTGTTTATTCATTGTTTGTATTCAACATCAGAAATTCACAAGAAGGGATGAACCTTTTATTTCTTAGAGTGCATTCGTCCTCCTGCTTGCGAATGGAACAGGGCTGCACCAGCAAATAGTAAAACTGCGCGACAGTGAGTGTGTGCTGCTCCACAAGCTAGAGGAACAGCTAAAGAGATTCGAGTATTCACTTATTGATTTCTATGGTTTGTTACTGAAATGAATCATCTTCAAAATCTGTTAATTGAAAGGGATTCATAGAAGGGGTGGCATTTTCTCCTTCGGTGCACCGAGGCCTCGTTTATTCCACAAGAGTTGATTAGCCCGACAATTTTCATGAAGGACCCACTTTGCCAATTTAATAAACTTTACTCCCTCACCTGTTCTATCAGTTGCAGTTAATGAATCTTAGCAATCCTAAGAAACAATATTAAATCTAATGGCCAACAAACACTCTTGCTGGACTGGTACAACACGTCGGAGTACCTTAGACGTTAAATGCTTTTGTGCATTTAAATATTATTTGAGTTTTAAATTTTATTGTCTGATAAAACTTGACATGTAAGATGTTTCAAATAAATACTCAATGCTACAAGAAGTCCATCTATGAATACAGGATTCAAGATAGTCCATGTCCCCAAAAATTCCACCTATGAATCCAGAACCAACAAGCCCGCAGGCACTTCATGTTCTAAAATAAATTTATTCTCCTAAATACATAATGAAAGAGCATGTTTCGTTTCTTATTCTCAATAAACAAACTGGGGGTGAATGAAACACATGATTATAGCTGCACAGACAACTAGATAAAAAGCCAAACCAGCACCAAGAAGGGAAAGAAATGTGATATGAATGAATCAAACAGTCGAATATGAGAACTCTCAGGACGTTGCAACCCCGGGATGCTAGATAGACCCTTACAATTGGAATAACACAATACTTGAGCAAACTACCATTCTTCAATCATCGGGTTTCATCCTCAAGGTTGCGGAAACCACTAGTCAGGTCCTCATGTAACTTTTGAAATTTGGCAACCAAAGTAGCTTCCCCTTCTGCTGGATCCTCAAATTTCTGAGACCTGTAATGACGACGGATCAACAGAATAAGACCTACTTACATGTCAATATAATCCATCTAGTGTAGCCACTACAATTACTCACACTAATTGATAGAAGAGATCTCCCAAACGATGCTTGATCAGGGTGTAAGTTATCTTCTGACCATCTGAACCAGCTCCCCTTTCTACTGCCTGCACAAAACAAAAAATGTACAAAATAATATGTGAGGGGTAGAAGAAGCGATGAAATGAACTACTAACTTGAACCTAAAGGTCTACACTAACGTCAACTTAATTTTTTTTCTAATATCAATAATGCCAAACCATTGCCTGATTCCATATACCACCATACCTGATTTGCCAAATTGTAGAAATGGATAATGTTGCGCATCATCCAAACAGACTTGTAGAAGGGGCAGAATTTGTCATATCTATCACAGCCACACATAAGGTACCCAACATAAGACAAACAACAAATAGAAACAATAATATACTATACATGTTAAGAAAATTAATCAATTACAAGGACACATACGGTGTAAAAGCATTTTGAGCAAGATAATCCTCTCTTAAAAGCTTTGCAGTTTCCAAGGTGATCTTATCAACCTCAGCTAAAGCATCCTTGCCCACAAGCTGGAGTAAACAAGGTAATGATCCAGTTAAGTTTACAAGTTACAGACCAAATGCATATGCATCCTGACAAATTTGTCCAAACTACAAACAAAGGCATAACTTAGAAGTATTAAAGCTCCACTCATAAAACTACTCATTGCAAGTTTGTAACCCAGGTTTGGAGTTAGACCACATAAGTCTGTCCACAGGTTATTTATGTTACTATTCCCTGAAGAAGCTGAACAATTCTTAATCTCATACATGGAGAGAGCACAGGGGTATTTCTTTAAACCAACAATCAACATGATAGAATCAATAAAGGAACATACCTGGACAATTTCATTCAGGTCATCTTCTCTTTGCAGAACTTCCCGAGCCTTAGTCCTAATGTTTATAAAATCTGGATCAAATTGCTCATAAAAGGATTCAAGTGCCTAAAGATACCAAAGAAAATATTAAAAGATTATGAAAAGTTATAGAACGAAATCATGAACTATATGCATTGATTGCATTCAAATGAAGAAAGCTGAAGAGAGAATGAGGAACAAAGTAACCAAGTTTAGGACATACCGTGGAGTACTTTGAATAAGAAATAAGCCAGTTCACAGAAGGAAAGTGCTTCCTCTGAGCAAGCTTTTTGTCCAAACCCCAGAAAACCTGCCAAGTAGGAAAAATCAACTCATGCTATGAATTGGAAGTTATAGAAGAATACGTAACAGAAGAAATAACCAGTGGGATATTCATAGTGATAATCCAAACCAGATTTTAACAATAAAGGATATTAGTCAAGACAACTGACTTCGCCTGTAGACAGTTACCCCTTTTTAACAATATTTGAAAGTATAGTTTTACCTGAACTATGCTGAGGGTTGCAGATGTCACAGGATCTGAGAAATCACCTCCTGGTGGAGAAACAGCACCAACAATTGTTACACTACCTGTACGTTCAGGGCCTCCCAGACATTTTACCTTCCCAGCACGTTCATAGAAAGAGGCTAAACGTGCAGCAAGATAAGCAGGATATCCACTATCTGCAGGCATTTCTGCCTGTGGAAGGAGACAATATCATCAAAATACATTGGATCAATATCCATTCCCATGTGTCTCATGTCTAATGGTATATAAATTGTCTATCTTACACTAGCAGAAGAAAGAAAATCCAACACAAAAGTAAAGGTATAAAATACCATAAATAATTCTAAATCCTCCTACTTTGTATTATTAAATTACAAAAATTATTAACTGTTTTTCATGTTTTCAAGACAATAAATGTATGTACTTTCTCAATTAATACTTACTTTATAAAGTAGTAAGAGGTTTATTAAAAGGATATAGCAAAGCTCAAATAATATATGCATTTTAAACCAAAAAAAAATTGTCTAAAAGACTGATGAACAACTATTATTGTGTAAATAAATTCTCACCAGCCGTCCAGAGATTTCACGCAAAGCTTCTGCCCATCTAGAGGTAGAATCTGCCATCATGCTGACATTATAACCCATATCTCTGAAATACTCAGCTAATGTGATTCCTGAGATTCGAAAAAGAAAATAAAGAGCAATATAGATTATCAAAATAAGCAATAAAGCTTGCCTCCCATGGAGCACATGGGTCAAACTAGATTATTGTAAGGGCAATTATAGTAAAGTTTCAACACAGGTGACAAAAATAGGAATACAAAGAGTAGCATATCAATGTGTAGAATATGAGCATTCCCTACTTTTGACACTAATCACAGATCAACAACAAAGTTTACAGCACATCAAAGACAACTGCTGAGAAACACTACTACTGATTGCAATCCTACCAGACTTTCACAAGCCAACTAAATTATAATTGACCATTGGAGAGGATTGGTAAATATTAATTAACAATAATAAAAAAATTATCTAGAATTTAGGAGCTAAAAACTCACCTGTATAAATTGAGGCTTCACGAGCAGCCACTGGCATGTTTGAAGTGTTAGCCACCAGTGTTGTACGCTTCATGACAGATTCTTCACGACCATCAGGTAATGTCATTGTAAGTTGTGGAAAGTCCATCAGAACCTGAACGGTCATTAAATTAGTTTGACCCCCAGCAAAATAACGAACACGAGCATTTTATAGAATTAGCTAAAAGGAAAGCATACCTCTGCCATTTCGTTTCCACGTTCACCACAACCAACGTAAACAACAGCATCAGAATTGGAATACTGCCAAACAAAAGGATGGATTAAAGGTCTGATGACTTCAGGAAAACATTTTATAATTAAATAATCATTATGCCATATAGGGTGTATTAAGCGCACCTTAGAAAGAGCTTGACTAATGACTGTTTTACCACAGCCAAAAGCTCCAGGTATGGCACAAGTACCACCAAGGACTGAGGGGAAAAGGGCATCAAGAACACGCTATACAAAACAGAAGTCATCAGGAATGAAAACCATCAGAATAAGAACATAGATCAGACACTCAACAGCAATTTAGTTTACCTGACCAGTAAGAAGAGGAGTATCAGCTGCAAGTTTTGATGCAACGGGCCTTGGTGTACGTACAGGCCAAGTCTGAAAATGGGTAAAGTACACGCAAGGAAGTTGTAATGCAGGATAATGATACGGAGGATCAATACCTCAATAAAGCAACTACAGTAAACAAAATAAAC